GTGGAGGTGGCGCAGGACCTGGAGGATAAACCGGGATCTGCTGATGGTGGAAGAGGTGGCGAGAATTGGACATGGGGTAGAAGATCTCGTCCTGCCGCACTACTCTCTTCATACCCTGCGTATTCTCTTTGTCGGCCGTTTCCAGGATGGCCTCCGGCTTCTCGGGTTCCTTCGGGACGACATTCTGTCCTCCGACGAGCGCCGCTCCGAACAGCAGGAGTAACAGCAGCATGACTGCGATTCGTCACCTCGTTCCCAGCCCAAGTTATATATAGTCAGCAATATTTCGTGTTTATATTTACTCGTCAGCGATTATTATTCGATGTTTTGTCACCTGTTCCAATTTCCTTATTTGGTCAATGTCCTTTATAGATTCCGGGTTATCTAATATTGAAAAATTCTTAATTGTTGACTTCTATTTCATGATAGACTTATACATTTATTAACAACATACTTCGTCCATCTTGATGACTTATAAGCTTCGAATATTGACGACAATGGTGTAATAAAATCCTAAGTAATATTTCATTATCCAGTAGCGTATTTAGGATTTAAATTTGTGAGGAATTGTTTAAATAAATATAATAGCTGTAATGCTTTCAGAGATAAAATTTTATATTTTACATTCTTTGTACAAAAAAATTTGATGTCAAGTTTTTTTTGTTAAACTTTAATTTTAAAATTAAAATTACGTTGTTTTTTATTTTAATTTTAAAATTTAAGTTTAAAAAAAAAAAGATTACTTATTTACGGAACAGCCAAAACGACCCACATACGAAAACTAAAACTTTCAGAACCATAACCAAAGCTCCATGATACGTCACAAACATTACATTACATAAAGACCTTAAAATTCTAACAGTTAACGATCACATACGGACACACTACAAGCGATTGCACAATAACTTACATGGACATACTAACACGCTTATATAAAGCATGGCTACATTTAACCTGCTCGAAAACACATTCAAAAGGAGCTGGATGAGGGATTTCCTCACTTAGAAATATGCTAAAATCAAGACAGGAAGGGATGCCGCTGGGCACTCCGCTCCATCAAGCCACTATCTGTACACTTACCGACAGCAGACCCGCTAATTGTCATTGCTTATGATTGCTCTGTCCGGATAACATCATAAGACCGTTTTACTCGATCAATTTTTTGAACTAAACTTAGTCCGAGAAATTGAAATTAATTGGTCTGGTTTTAACATGGGCTATATAGAGCCTTTCACACAGTTAAGTTTCTCGCAACTTTACTTCGTGCTTTGTTATTCATGATACAAACACTGAAGAATGTATAACCATTTTCATTAATTCAACTCCTTATATGTATGGTATCCCATAAATGATTAAAAATATTTTAAGAATTAAACCTCAAGAGAAACCAAATGTTTACACAAGCAATGTTACGTTGTTGCAAATGGTCTATTTGTCATCACTTCAATCAATTTTAAAAAGAGAAATATTGTGAAGGTTTTTTAATTTGGCTCAGATCACTCGTAGAAAAAACATTTGAAAAATTTCTTTTTGTGGAGAGAAGAGATTTCATATTGGAGATATCAACTGAAAAAAAAACTTTAAATCCAAAGAAGAAAGGAAAAAAATAAACTACAATTTATATAAATTTACATTCATTTTTAGGGTTTTTAAAAATAGAAGATCAATAAATTTTCTTGGGAGAAGGGGAATGGGCATCTTTGTAAGACATACTTCAAAACAGTCGAAATTTCTCAGAAATGGGACATATTTAATCTGGAGATCGCTAAACTCTGGTCATTTAATTGGTTACAAAATAACTCATTTTCTTTCCGCTTAAATCATAAAATAATTTGATCACAAAATCGGTAAAAAGTAATTTTCTAACATATGTTTCCTTCACATTCAATAATATATTATATATTTTTGGTTTATTTAATTAGAAGAAAAAGTTCACTTCATATTAATTCCATTAAGTTTCTGTAGTATATTTCCTTCTCATACAATAATAAATTGTATATTTTTGGTTTATCCAATTAGATAAAAAATATCATTTCAATTTAATTCCACTAAGTATCTATCGTATGTTTACTTGTCATTCAATAATATAAAACTATATTACTAACGTTATTTTTGGAGATTTTTTTTTTCAACCTGCAAAAATATTTCTCTCATTTTCTCGTTTACATAGCTAATATATTTTTTATTAGTTCTGGCAATGGAAGATCTTTAATTATTTCTAGTAAACAAAATTATAGGTTTTTTAGTAGAAGACATTTTTTAAATTCTTTAAACAACAGGGCTTAAACTGCCATGCTGTTTCAATCAGATGAAACCTAACTGCTTTAAACATATTTTTTCCGTTGAAGATTCGAAATCGTTATTCTTCATGATCATAATATTTTTATAAAATAAATTAATTTTCGTTGCATTTTGTCAGGAAATGGACTGATTTTCTCATTTATGGAGAAATTTATACTATACTCTAATATATTTCGAAATAAATATCATCACTACATCATATTATGGTGTACATAATATTATATTATCTTTTCAAAACGACAAAAAAGTAGAAAAATACCTGCAATACTGAAATCTAAAAATAAAAATTAGTTTCTAATTTTCCATCCTTAAAATTCTTACGCACAGCGAAATTTTACTCCTCCCCTCCCCCACAATTTTCGGTCCTGGATGAATGAATTTTAATTATCAATGAAATACCAATACGAGAAGTTATAATAAAAACAAGTTCTCTAGATGTCAAGGACCCCCAAACCATCCTTACGCAATGAGGTTCATGAACTGGAATGCGAACATAGCTGGAAACAAATCGTTGTGTAAGCTTAATTTGATGAATCAAAACAGCAGTTTGAAAACAATCTTAAGACGGAATTTTTATAAAAATTTACGTCTTGATAAATAATTTTAATACATAATGATATCCCAATTACTTATAAGTTCAAATAACGTTGATAAAGTTTCTCAAACTGCAGTTTTGAGGTACATTCTGACTGTCAATAGCGGTGATATTTTATCTAAAGAAATGCGTCAAAGCCAACTCATGTTGAGTGACAATAACTTACTAATATAATAACAGTGTAATTATTATTAACAATATAATGATAGTTGTTTGTTTGTTTGTTTCGATGTCTAGGCGCAAAACATCCAGGTCATAAGCGCCCGATCAACTAAATAACATCATTTAATTCTATTTGGATGATTGGTACAAAAAAAAAAATAATAAAATAAAATAAATAAAGAAATGGATTGATAGAATAAAATAATTAAATAAGGATAATAATAGACATTTATAGGTAATAAGATGTATAAAAAATGTATAAATAAATAAACTTTAGAAAATAGCAGTAAAATCAATAAATGAATTGAGATTAATTAACAAATGAATTTAAAATGAAATGAAATCAAGTGAAAAAATAAATAAATAAATAAATAATAAGAGAAAATATAATAAAAATAAATAGATAAAAAAAATTAATAAATAAAAAAAGCCTGTCAAATGTGTTTTTTAAGTCTTTCACTATCCAGGAACTTGATGACTTTGGTAACGATTTCTTCTTGATTTCCCTGATATATTCTGATATATCAGCAGGGATGCTGATATATTCTGGGGTATTCCAAAATCTTTATATGATAGTGATTTTGATACACCCCGTAAAAAAAATAGTAAAACGATTTAAATGGTTACAATAAATATATAAATAATACCAGAAATTCTTTAACACATTTATTTATAATCTCAATTTAAATATGTACAAACTCAATAAAATTAAAATATTCAACTATGATTATTTAAGTTTTTTTTTATTATTATTTATGAAATTTACAACTGTACAATTAATATACATTCAGCAAATATGACACAGATAAATACATGACATGACTAGGCTTGTAGATAATCTATCCATTGGTAGCACTCTAATAAGATTTATAAATTAGGAGATCACGAAGCCATCTTCTTTTCAGACGCCTACGAGGGTTATCAGGGATCGAGGAGGAAGCAAGGTTAGAAACGAGAGAATTGGGATGGTTCTGAAGTTTAATATGGACGGATGGATTACTTTATTTGTGACAGAGTAAGGAGCATTGAGGATTTTGGATTGTAAGGATTAGATCCGAGAGGAATTCGATGGCTTAGTGGAGCCCTAAAGTTCAACTCTTTAAGTCCAAATAGGTCTTATTATTGTCATGTATATGAGTCTTTTGTAATTAATTGAAAGGTTAGAGCGTTTGTCTTGTAAGTGCTGAAGTAGTCGGAAACGTAGAGCGGTTTCTTGTCGTTTCTATCTGGTATGGAGGTTTCAAGTGAGTCGTTTGTCCAGGTGGAGTCCAAGGTATCGGATTTGTTCAACATGGATAAATGGGGTATTATCAAAGGATACTGTAGGACAAGAAGTCATAGGTTCACGACGAATTTACAAAAATTAATTTTAAAAAATGGATAATTTTAACTCATAGTCAAAATTCATTTCTTTTTAACTTTTAAATACTATTATTTTAATTCAATGTCTTGTAGGCAAGTCATTGTTAACTACCACTTATTTCAGTCTGTTTGTAATGGAGTCGAACAGTTTTTTGGTGAATTCTGGACTTATTCCACTCTTCGAGAAGATATTGCCTAACCACCCCTAAATTTGAGTAAATAAATGAATAAATAAATATGAACATTTATAAATAATGCTCTAATAGTATTATTATGCATTATGCATAAAAAATTTAACTCTTATCACTTAAGGTATTTCTTAGGTATCTTCCTATCATCTGCAACATCTTGTTACAGATCATTCTGTCTCTAAAGACCTCATTCCTATGTTCTTAATAATTAAAATATTGCTATAAATTATAGTCTACAAGAAACAGTTATAAGATGTGTGAAATAGTTATAATATGGAATCTAAATTTGAGTAAATAAACAGGAACTTTCATAAATAATGCTCTAATAGTATGTATCACTTAAGGTATTTCTTAGGTATCATCCAATCATCTGCATCATCTTGTTACAGATTGGAAGTTGAGAGGATAAGATCCATCGTGAGGAACATCATCCAGTTCATCACGATGAGGCAGTTTCCTCCGGGTGACAAATCTTTGCCTCCGCTGAACAAGACCAGGTGGTGGATACCGACAGCCACCAAGACCTTAGCGCTGATCAGTAAGTTGTAAACTTGCGAACTTTAAATCCGATGTTCTTATTAATGTACTAAAAAATTAACAAATTGTGAAAATATTTATATTGGTATTTAATAAAATTGTTCTGCTTAATTTTTACTGTATAACTGTCAGCGCAAAAGTGTCCCCAGGCACTTATAACAAACTTTTATCTCTTATCTATTTTATATATTCTATCTTTGTTAGTTCTTCCAAGTTTCGTTGCCTACATCAACACTAGGAAGATAAAATCTTATGAAAGTTCAAAAATTGTACTCACAACAACCAAATATTCTTTTGTTGACAAGGGTATTGCAAAGTATAAACTTAGTTCCTCATTATAAGCCTACAGTCGTGGTCATAGAAATTGCATCACCCAGTAAATTTTTTATTTTATTTACCAGATTGATAGTGCAAGATCTTAGGATATTTCTCTGGCAGTTATGAAACAATATTATTATAAAAACAGTCGCACCATTAAGCGGCCAAATTCTTCGTTTGTTTTTTCCTCCTCCCATTTCCTTCATTTCGCTCTATGATGCCTTTCTTTTTTTTTTTTAAAACTATGACTACCATTGATCGGTGGTACCCTATCCTCGTCAATACTTCCAGTGAAAATTCCTTCACTACATGTAACGTCACAATTTTAATGTGTTTTGACTAGAACAGTTTCTCATACAGGTAATAATTAAAGCCTTTATCCTGGAATTAGTTAAAACTGATCTGATATATATCGTTAAAACTTCCTTGTAAACTTGATCCTCGAAGATTAAAGAGTAAGTTATTAAATTGGATATTAAAATATCCAATAAATCCCATCAAATCACCTTTACCCTTCGCCGTGAACCGATGACCTCCTGTCCTACAGTATCCTTTAATAATACCCCACTTATCCCTGTTGAACAAATCCGATACCTTGGACTCCAATTGGACAAACGTCTAGCTTGGAATTTTCATACCAGACTGAAACGACAAGAAACCGTTCGACGTTTTCGACTACTCCAGCACTTACAAGACAAACGCTCTTAGCTTCCAGTTAATTACAAAAGACTGCAATAAATGACTTCAATAAGCCCTATTTGGACTTACATAGTTGATCTTCGGGGCTCCACTTAGCCATCGAATTCCCCTTGTCTCCAATCCTTACAATCCAAAATCCTTCGTAAAATCCTCCATGCTTCTTACTTAGTCACAAATTAAATCATCCATATACACCTTAATGTTCCTTATGTTTCTGACTTGGCCCAATCCAGATACCTATCCTTCCATAATAAATTTCAGAACCATCCAAACCCTCTCATTTCTAACTGATCTACTGATCCGTAGACGCTGCAAACAACGCCTCAAGTCCTCCTCTCTTAGACTACACCGAATTCTACAACTCCGCCTTGGATCACATGGACCTGATGCAGGACTATCTCAGCTGGCAGTCATCTCAGAGGCCTGGTCAGTTCTCCTATTGTCAGTATCCTTTCATTCTCAGCATCGTCGCGAAGAGAATGATACTTACCAAGGTATTCGAGGCATATAGTTTGCATATATATATATATATATATATATATATATATATATATATATATAAATATATATATATATATATATATATATATATATATATATATATATATATATATATATATATATTTCCTGTTTTAATATATTTTTAATTTTATTCTGTATTTAGGATTCAGAACAGCAGATGATATTGACAGCACGTAGATCGCTAGTGGCGAAAGTGGCGAGACACCAGGCCCCACAGATTGACATATTCTTTCTCAACGTATGCGTAAGAAGAGCACATCTCGTTTACGATTCTTTAAATGAGGTAATTTTTAATAATTAAAACTATATATATTGTTAATACATCTAACCAACAATCAAAATTTCAGGATTTCTGAAAAAGAATTCAAGAAATAATCTACTTTTCTTATAATTATTAAAAATAAGTCATATTTAACTAAAAACCTGAACTAGCGTCTGGGTATTGTGATGGGGACTGGGGGTATGGCCTTTACTCACTGTAATGTGATACATACGGCTGCGAAACACGATACTTAAAACCTTTCTTAGCTCTGCTTTATAAAGGTTTTATAAAAATAAACATGCATTTATAAAATTTAATATAATACATTTTTTAAAATGTATTTATGGAGTATTACAGCAATCTGTCTCTTGGACATTAGTTATAGTGAGGTACGATAACATTCACACTATATGTACAAAAAATATAAAGTAAATAGAAGCAAAATAACAATAAATAATAATCACTACTCGTAACGCTCTCTCCTGCCTCAGATGGTAAGTGTGAAAATTCGCATTTGTTTCTGATAAGCACTTCACTATTTTTCGGAAGGCTTCAGCAGAATATGGTGTTATTTTGGTGTCATTGGTCCTGTTAACGCAAGAATAACTGCCAGAGCAGATTGTATTTTGTTGAGTGCAGAACAACTCAATTTTTTTGATATTTTTCACAAATATCGGAGGAGACCTTAGTTCTCTGGGTATTGCTGCAGACTCCATTACTTCTCGGTCATTTTGAAACACCTGGTAGGGGTTTGGGAGTAAAGAAAGGGGATTCTTTGATCATTTCTTGTGCAGATGTACCTGATTGGGGCTGAGATTCTGGTTCTGAAGTGTTCACTTTGGTCACTGGACGTATTTCTCGTAGGCAGCGACGAGTCCTTTGTTTGGCTGGTGAACCACGTGGTGTACTAACGCCGTCTGACCGAGTCCTCTTGAGCATCTTACTGGCCATCACTTCCTGATAATACCGCATATCATAAGATTAAAGAAAAAGAAAAAAATTAAAAATAACAAAAAAGATGTCAACAGCAAATATCAACTGTTCTGATGTACACTTGAACTGTATTAAGTGAATAATCACAGAGATTCCGCTGAAAAATAGGCAAAAACTGAGAGACGAGTTGAGAACACAAGCTTCGCATCAGCTGATCCACTGCCTTCTTTGTCTAGCCGTAAAATTTTGTAAATACATTTTAAATCAAATATTTTTATTCAGAGACGAGATGGTGAGATAAAAAACAAAACAAACGAATTAATTGGAATTAGTTGGAAACACCATATTAAGCTAAAACTTATAACAAACCCAATGATATGTTACCGATAAGGTACCCAACGAGGTAGGAACTGGCAGGACATTTATCGTTGTCTCCACTCCAGTGACGTGGCTCCATCCACACTACTTTGCTTTAACCCTAATTATCTCACCAAATATATATCAGGAGAATTTGGAACTCTTAGAGTTTTAATTTTTGTAATCTCCACCCACGCATAAACTTTTTTGGGACGAAGTAGATAATAAATAAATAAATAGATATTTATACGGTACGATTTTCTTTTTTGTTACTTCTACATTTAGAATTCTTTACCTGTTTATATATATATATATATATATATATATATATATATATATATATATATATATATATATATATATATATATATATATATATATATACATTATGATATAATACATACTTTTCGGTTCAGACTTTACCATAAATTGTTCCCTCCGCAGATAGCCAGCAAGCAGAAGGACCTGAAGAAGAAGCTGAAGGTATCCTTCATCGGTGAGCCAGGGCTGGACATGGGAGGCCTCACCAAAGAGTGGTTCCTCCTCCTCATAAGACAGATCTTCCACCCCGACTACGGCATGTTCGTCTACCACCAGCACTCCAGGTGCTACTGGTTCTCCACCGATCAAGAAGGCAACTTGAGAGAGTACAACCTGATAGGTCAGTTGCTCTTATCTTGATTAAGCAATCTTAGGTCCTAGTAGCATATGATGATTGTTTGACCTATTTACCATGTTCTCGCGACTCGAGCTGCCTTTTACATTGAAAATTATTAGAAGAATATATAAATAAATAATAACTTTCTTTATTAAAGAAACGTTCTGCCGTACTAATAATACAATGAACAACTACTAAACTTTATACATTACTTTAAGAGTTTGGTACATCCAATAAAATATGAAATATGTATAGCAAAACGAAAAATAGAAAAATGAAATCATTTCTTTTATAATTTTCATATTTTAAACATATTGCTTTATATACTGGCATATATAATAACACATATTTTTTTATTTTATTCACCCTGTCAATATAGACCATTGGGTACTTACTTGTTATTTAAAAAAGCGTTAATTTAAGTTCCATTCCATAAATAACATAAGATTTAGATTGCACTTTGTAATTATATAAGAAGGTTCATATTTAGTTGAAGTACACTTCAAATAACTGTGCGTCTTGGAGGTGTGGTAGGGAGTGGGGATGTGGCTTATGTCCAATGTACTGTTTGTCAACCGATTTTCTTTCGTCTTTTTTGTTTAGAAGCTGTTGACGAGCATTTGTGTTAAAAATAAAAAAAAAATATTAAAAGATTGCATTTAAATAAAAATGTAAATGTTCGTTAGTTCAAAACCGTCTCCGAAAGTTCTTCGCTGATTGTTTTGAAATTTTGTTACATTGATTTAACGACTTCAAAAGTGTTTTTTTGGTTTTGAAATGGCGACCGAAAATATGTGTTGCTATAGACTGTAGCGCCTAAACGGCTGTGATGATTGTAATGAAACTTAGTTAAAGTTATTTCCTAGAAACTTTTTTTAATTTATGTTTTAGTGTTTGTTTCTTCTTTCCGTTTTGGAACAAAAAATGAATGTACTTTTATCAGAATCAGTTTCAAGATTTAGTTTAATCTGCTCATCGATTATTTTTTGGAGAATGTGTTGTGAATGCGTCCTAACTATGGTTTAAAGTGCTTCTTGTGGCAGCAATGTCATCCGAAAAAGCTGTTACTGCACCATTCTGGTACTTGGTCTCAACAATTCAATTTAAACCTAAAATTCAAATACAATATTTTTGTATAATTCAAATTCAACCAAGTTGAAGCCACTTTTCACAGCTAGTTAACTATACAGAGTGTTTCAGGGTTAACTTGTCAAACTGCAAAAATGAACTAAGGACCCCAAAACAAACAAAAAAAATTCCTCAGAAGTTATGTCCACAAACACTTTGTTTGGGGGATATTCACACCTAAAGATTTTCGATGTTCTGAATTATTTACGTTATATGAGATAAATAAAACCTATTTATTTCATCTAACTACTTTATTAATTAAATGCAAACATTAACATTCATATTAAATGTTGTTCAAAATGAAGGTATGTCCGCAAACGCTTTGTTCATGAGATGGATTAGATAGAATACTAATATGGCCTTTTATATCTAACTGTATAAAAACTATTGGCTACATAAGGATTAATAATATTTGGAATTAGCATTAGGAACCCTCAATAACATTTATCATTTTGTAAGAGGCTTTCGCAGAGTACTCATCATTATGCCTTCCATTTACACTAATGGTGCCGTTCTGCCACTGCTGCTGTTGACGAAGGATGCCGAGCCTGTCTTAATGCTCAATGAAATCGATTTGAACAAAATTTAATATGAATTGAATGTTTAAATTTAATAAATAATGTAATTAGAACATATAATTAGGTTTTATTTACTTAAATTAATAATTCATGACAACGAAAATCTTTATTTATGAATATCTTCTAAACAAAGCGTTTGTGGAAGATATATCTTCAGAGGATTTTTTTTTTTTTTTTTTTGAGGTTCTTAGTTCATTTTTGGAATTTAGCCACTTAACCCTGAAACATCCTGCACATGTACATCTTAAAAATTATTTTTTCTACAATTTTATAACCTGTTGAATGACGTGACAATAGAACATATTGTATCTAAATATAAATAAAAGTGTATTGACTTTCAAATATATGGTAATGGCGCAGGAAAAAAACCTGGAATATTTAAAGTTCTTTAAATTGCAGGAAAGCGTTCGCCTGATAATTTTCTCCCGAATCGATAAAATCGATAGCAATTTTCGCGATGGCTTAGCGAATTGGGAGCGATCGTAATGGCCTGCCTGGCTAATGTTATGATTGTCCCTGGTCCTCATTTTATATTCTACTTTCTTTATCGTTATTATTATTCTTGTTGAAGATAGGTTAAAATTTAAGTGTGGTATTATTTAAGGGTGATTATTTTTTTGTATAATTATTCATGATTACATAATATTTTGCTGTGAAGATTTGTTTTTCAACACACAATGAAAGCGTGTAAAGATTATTTTTAAAAAGATACTTACAATGAAAAGGTTAGGCTTATCCAGCACGCGACTTCAACAAACAACATTGTTCGACTGATATAATAAAGTTTATTGATTACTTTTTACTTCCAATTACCAATATATATCAAAGATATGGTAGAAGAAAGAAAGGCGACTGTGAAAAAAATAGAATCCGAGTAAATTAGCTTAAACTTATTCAATCTTTTACGTAAAAATTTAGAATCAAGCTTACCTAACAGATGTAAAATAAAAGAAAATAATTATAAAAACTAAGAGGAATACAGAAATAAATAAATTGAAATTACAACACGTTATAACATAATTTCGAATATTAATGAATATAAAAAAAAATATACAAAAAACAATAAATAAAAAACGAACAAATAATTTATATTCATATTTTTTTTTTTTTTTTCATGGGTGATAACTATTCGGCACCCAACCATTATTTTACCCAGCCATCAGTCTAACTTCGATTATTCGGCTGAAATTACTGAATGTGCCGAGAGATTGGGGGTTGATCAGGGTCATCGAAATGTGAAAGCTCTACGGCAGTCGCTACGAGAAAATGCATTTGAGGAATGGGCCAACTGCAGGTGGCAGGGTATTGGTGTTCGCCATTTTAAAGAGACCCCGAAAGCGAATAGATACACCTATGAAAAGCAAGTACTTTCTGGGTCTGAATGGTCGAATGCCCTAAGACTAAACATTAATTATGCACCCCTGCGTGGAGTCCCAGGAGTCAGCGGACAGGTCGGAGAAGTTGGGTCCCTCTGCCGTAAATGCGGAAGAGAGTCTGAAACACCAGCCCATGTGCTGGGAAAATGCCCCAACAACTCCCTCCTCAAAACACGTCGTCACCACCGGATCAAGTTCAAGTTGATGAGGCTCCTTAGGGAAAGGAAATTCACCTGCTTTGACGAGGTATATTGCATCGATAGTGAAGGCTCTACGAGATACGCGGATATCGTCGCATTTCCCAAGACAGGAAGGACAGCGCTGATCTTGGATCCAACTGTCCGCTTTGAGAGCAATAACCTCAATCAGGCGGGTGAAGTGGAAAGGGAAAAGAAGAACACGTACGATAAATGTATCCCTTTCCTAAAAGATAAATTCCGTGAGACCTTCGGAGAGAGAGAGTTCACCGTGAGAGGCCTCTGGTTTGGGTCTCGCGGAACTATCCCAAAAAGAACAAGGAGCTTCCTCGAGGAACTAGGTGTCGACATTAAGGACGTAGCGAGGTTGGCTGAAAATATAGTCCTCGACTCCCTGGGAATCATTCACCACCACGTGCATGGCTAGCCCAAGAGTTTTAATTTATGTTTTTATTTATTTATTTAATGAATAATTGTAAACAATAGAGATAAAGAGAGAGAAGTGAGAGAAAGGGAAACTAAATGTTAAAAAAAAAAAGAAAAAAAAAGCATAAACAATAAAAGGAAAGAAAAAGGAAAAAATAAAATAAATGGAAAAAAAAATAAAAATGTATATATATATATATATATATATATATATATCTACTTTACTAATATTAACTAATACTTCTGTATATTTATATATAAGTTCATACATTGTCCTAAGGATAGAAGAGTATGCTGTGTGTATAGCAACCCAATATAATTGGGCAGCAATCCTTTATATTCTATATTTTATGAAAATAAAGTGTTTCTCTCTTTTATTAGTGCCGACGTTTTAAACCAAACATGTGGGTCATCATCAGGGCGTGGCTCGAGCACTGAAGATATTCAAGTACTAACCATTAGATTAGTACTTGAATATCTTCCTTTCTTTTTGTTCCCACTAGTTTTGCCACACATCATTCTTATTTTTTTTTTAAGTAGTCCTCTAGAGGGATTTCATTAATTGTCCCTCATATGTCTTGATGTAAGATTCCAGGAGTCACTGGCATATGACAATAGGGGTAAGAAAGTTATCTTATACACTACAATTTTGACCTTTTTAGAGACTTCTTTCTTACCTAGGAAACGAGATTGAAGTGAATGGAAGATTTTTCCGAACCAGTTTTATTTTCCCGTCCATCCAACCTTTTTCTTTGAGGTGAGCTCCCAAGTATCTGAAGTCTCTGACCTTTTCCGACTCCTCTCCCTTAATCGGAGTATTCGATTTCCACGTTCTTCCTCTCTCCTATCCTCATTACTTTTTTTTGCTAGTGTTAATGTCTATATTTAACAATTGTAATTCTTCCTACAGGATTCTGAGATGGAATTGTAGATTTCTTCCGTTATTCCCGAATACGACTATGTCATCAGCATAGGCTAGGAGTAGGAGTGTGAAATAAACTGAAATTAATTCTCAGTGGCCCATCCAAAACAGCCTCATTCTTGTCTTTGCTGTTTTTAAGGTCAAGTTAAGGACCATTAAAAAGAGTAATGAGCTAAGACTAATGTCCTGCCTTATTCCTTGCGTGCTCCTATTACATATAATTTTGATTTAATTCATTCGAATATTGGCAAAGTTGCAAGATTTTAATTTTTTGTTTATTTTCCATAAACACACACATGATCGGAATACGTCAATCGATTTTATAACTTTTCCCCTTTGTTTTATCTACCTGATTCGCAACTTTTCCACAGTATTATGATTTAAAAAAAAAATTTTTTCGATTCATTCTCATACTATCCTTGTATGCAACATGTCTGATTCCATACTCACTTACTTAAATGGTTCTTACAATAGCCCCCAAAGAGATTATTTATATAATTACAGGAGTGCTGATGGGACTGGCCGTGTACAATTCCATCATCCTCGACTTGCACTTCCCTTCGATATGCTACAGAAAGCTCCTGTCGCCGCCAGTAGTTCCACCCGTCGACACGAGTGGCGTAGGCGTCGTCAGGAATCCAACCATTGATGATCTTGCGGAAATATTGCCGGTAGGTTACCATAAAGTAACATATATATATATATATATATATATATATATATATTTAATAATTTCACATAGTGATTTTAATAAGATTTTAATACTTTTTTCATCCTTTACCTTGCTTTCTTATTTTTTTTTTCTCTTTTTTGCTTTTATTGACCAATGTATGAAAAATATTGCCATCATAAAATATTTTGAATCTGAATTTTCAAAGGAAGTGCATGCTCAAATCCAAATAGCCTAGTCATGAATTAATGTCAGTGTGTTTGTGAAGAGTTAAGCTCAAATAGGAAAAATCGCACTATTGTGAAATTATGTAATAATAATAATGAATGATAATTTATATACAATATCCATTTTCTTTTGTTTGAAGGACGTTGCAAAAGGATTGAAAGAACTCCTTGCCTATGAAGGCAACGTCGAAGAAGATATGTGCATGGATTTCCAGGTATTGTTTTCAAGTTACTAACAATTTAATCATATTTTAAAGTTTTTATATAACTTCGATTTTATATCACTATTTCGAACCCTCTAAGACAACGCTAATGAAGATTTATTCAAATTCAACGACGTTTCGAGCTAATTGGTTCATACCCAAGTCAACAAAAATACAAACCAAAAATCATTAATATATTATATTCTCATTAAATATTCATTTTCAGAACGTCAAATACAAAAGTAATGCTATTCATTGTCACATTTCATGCGCATTTATTCTAATGCTTGTCCATTCCCGAAAATTGGGTACTACTTTCTCCCTTTATTGTTTGTTTAATTTGGCTAATTTTCCCTTTATTTATTGTTTAACTCTCTTTATTGTTCCCTTTAGGGTTATTTTTGTATTTTTAAACGAATATTTAATAAGATTATAATATATAAATGATTTTTGGTTTGAATTTTTGATGACATAAGAATGAGCAAATTAATAACATCATTAACATCATTTGAACATTAACATGAATAACATCATTTTTTAGAACCGAACTATCGATATTCGATAATGTTTAAATATGTTAGTAATTTTCGGTTTACAATGGATAATTATTTACCACTAATAACATACGATGAAGAGGAAATTGAAATTTTATTAACTAGGGTGTGCCTTTCCGGGCGTAAGTCTATATTATGCAAAAAGTATGAACATTTTGTTTTTGAGTTATCCAGCTAAGTGGTAATGTGAAGTGTTGTTAACTTAGTCGCCTCTAACCGCCTATCGCAATTGAAGAAGACGAATTCTTAAGAAATTGGATCCAATTTTCCCATTTCCCTAAATATCGTTTTTAAAATTCTTAAGCCTTTGAACTATCAGCTAAAACAACTGAGATCTTTAGCCATGTAAAAAAATGCTTACTACCACCAATAATTATGATCAGTGTTAAATAAACCTTTGTTGACAAAATAATTGATGAATCAGGAATATTGTTTTGATTGAATTTTCACTTTTTAAATCAAGGACGTTCATTCAGAACTATCTGACAAGAATTCTTGTACTGTTATCATATTCTCGGTTAATTTTAAATAATAATTAAGCGCTATTTTATAGAATTAAATCATCGAGTACTTTGAAAAACTTTCTCTCTGTGAGATGAAAACGTTGTGCACTAACGCTATATATTATTTCTAAAAGATGCTTTTTTGTCGGTACGCCATAACTTCGTCAATTCTTCATAAAATACACTCATTTTGATTGACCACTCATTTTAAAGATATTCTTTTCCTTCAAATACGAAAAGTAGTCATATATTTCCGAAATTTTCGGTTATGAAGGAAAAGATACTTTATTTGCGAATAACTCAAAAAGTACGCATTTTTTTCTGAATTGGATGATAATTAGAAATATTACTAAATTACCTGCAAAACAAAAAAATCGTAATAATCGGACAATTAATTGGAATTAGCTGAAAATACCATATTAAGCTAAAACTTATAACAAACCCAATGACATCTTACCGATAAAATACCCTACGAGATAGGAGCTGGCAGGGCATAATATATTGTTGCCTCCACTACTTTTCTTTAACGCTAATTATCTCCCCAAATATATATCAGGAAAATTCGAGACTCTTAGAATTTTTATTTTTGTAATCTCCACCCACGCATAAACTTTTTTTCTTTTTCACGATTTTTCTTTTTGTTACTGTACATTTAGAATTCTGTACCTGTTAATATATATACTTTAACATATATAATTATCAACAAAGATAGAGTCCATCAAACCGAATAAAGGTTGAAGTTTTCGTATACTTAATAATTTCATCATCTTTAAAGATATTGCATTTACTATTCTACTACACCTTTTTTCCTTAGTGATATATTAACTTTATTATTTCTTAAAGACATTTGTTTGTTGTTACATATTATTTTTTTTAATAATTTAAAAAATCCCATGATCGAGACTTTATTTTGTCTTTATAACCTTTATTACTCTCCTACCTATACTAGATAGGTTAAGGTTAAGGAAAGTATTGCGATCGGGTCAAATTTTCGATATGCTTTTTTCGACGGATCTAAACGTTTCCGACCCCTCTGAGTCCGAAAAACACATTTTTAGCCGTTGGTCTGTCTGTTTGTGTGTCTGTCTATTACGGGTTCATATCTCGGTGTCACAAAGGAGTGAATGAGAGATTTTTCGATTTTTTGGGAAACACCAGAATTTTTATTTTTAATGTACAAATTTAAAGATATAAAAACTTTTCTGAAATAGGTAGAAAAGTCGTGGCGACACACCAGATTTTTATCTTTCCAGTCAGCGTTTAAAAATAAGTGGTTTAGCGGATCCAGGATTTATTTTTTGGTGGGGGCTTAGTCTGAAAGTTGTTTTTTTTCATAAAAATAACGATAATTACTTTGGAAAAAAAGAAATAAACTAACTACCTATATGAAATTGTGTTTAAGTGATTCCTAAAGCCCTTTTAAATGTAATTGCACGAACAATAATACTTTAAGAGATACTTTTTAAATATTTTTTTCGATAAAACATGGTTATATTTTACCATTTTGGGGGGGGAGCGCTTTCAGCCCGAAAGCTCCCCCTCCCCCGTAGATCCACCCTTGAGTGCAAGCAAAAGAATTTGTACAAACATTTTGGTCTATTATGTTAAATGGAATAATGTAACCGGCCAATAAAAAATTATTAATTCCTTCCTTACATAATACATAGGATCTACTTATTTCCATATTGTTTTGTTATTTCTTCACTAAAAAAAAATGTATGCGAATTATTCGCACGGGCCAACTAGTTGTAAATATTTTTGATTTACAGAATGTCTCAGTTATATTGGCCAAACTCTGGGAGATGATTCTAGACGAAATTTTCAACAAAAGTCCCTTTGATGCATGGACTGATTCCAAAGGAAAAATGTTAGTTAAGACCAACTTTGTGTTTTTGTTAAAATAATCACTTTTTTTAAATTTTTTTAAATTTTTTTTTAGTTGTTTGGCAATAATAACTTCCAGTTGTTATTGCCAAACAACTAAAATAAATAGACAACTTCTCAGAAAAAAAGAAAAAATAAAATAATCACTTTTAATAAGTGATTAATTGAATTAAACAAATTTAATTTACTTAGGTAAATAATAAAAGGGACTTTTAGGGGTCAAATACGGCCTCCTGGAAGTCCTTTTTATCATTCACCTTAGTAAATTTAATCACTGTTTTCCCCAAAAAAATTATGTCTGCTTTACGGTGGTGTACTTAGAATTTAATTATCTTGAGCAGTTTTTTGAGAAATTCCTTCTTATTCAATCAAAACCGTGACTACCTTAAGAAAAACACAAAATTGGTCTTAATTCCTTTACCGTTCAGCACGGGCGGATCTACGGGGGGGGGGGCCTTCGGGCTGAAGCCCCGAAATGGTAAAATATAACCATGTTTTATGGGAAAAAATATTAAAAAATTATCTCTTAAAGTATTATTGTTCGTGTAATTACATTTAAAAGGACTTAAGGAATCACTTAAACACCATTTCATATAGATAGCTAGTTTCTTTCTTTTTTTTCCAAAGTAAATATAAGCGTAAACCGTCATTTTTATGAAAAAAAAAAAGCTTTCGGGCTGAAGCCTCCCCAAAATTAAATCCTGGATCCGCTAGTGCCGTTCAGAATCGGCCCATTCATCAAATGAACTTTTTTTTTTTTTAATTTTGTCTAGAATCACCTTCTGGTGTTTAGACATTAAGAACTAAGACACTCTGTATAATAGAATTCGTTTCTTTTTTATGCACTGACTGTGTTTTTGTCTCTATAAATAAGGTCGACATTTACAAAAATGTGTAGAAATATTTTGTCATTAAGGTGTATTTTTTATATTGATAAATAGAACGGTTCGATGTACCTCCATATCTGTGATGTTTCGTTGCTCGATATTCATCGGTTGTTTTTATTCTGTCCCTCAAATAACCTTCCAAAGTTTTCATTTCTTTTATTTGATTCTATCATGCCTAATTTAAATGTTATCTAATGCAAGTCTTGTTATTAACACAATTTCATTTTTATTGAATATTTAATAGTTGACCGTTGTATTATAAAGGAAAGAGATGGTCCGGAGTGGCGGTCATAAATAGGTCAAATAGCGGCAAAACTATTTTATTAAAAGACAACGTTTCCCGTCTTTGCAGGTATTCTTCAGGGCTAGAACGGACAAGATACAAAAAGATACAGAATTGTGGAAGTTAGGTAATATTTAGACAAAGAATTATAAACTATGTGAATAAGCTTATTAACATTATAAACAGTAAGTACATTAAAATATAAAAAGAGTAAGCTAAGTAACAAGATCCTAAACTGAAGTAAATAGATGGTAATCTATCTATCTATCTATCTGTTTATATTTTAATGTACTTATTGTTTTTAATTGTCTATATCTTTTTGTATCTTGTCCGTTCTAGCCCTGAAGAAGACCTGCAAAGTCGGGTCGAAACGTTGGCTTTTAATAAAATAGTTTCCTACTATTTAGCCTATTAATGAGAGCCACTCCGGACCATCTCCTTCATTTAATTTAATTTTTAATTAATTTAATTCTTATTCTGTGTGAAACTAATATTCTATATAATAATTAATATTCGCACCAACACCATGCCTCAAAATAATTAACTGGTGCTATGATAGGCAAGTTTATAAACTCAGCGCTAATTCCATCGATGAAATCTTTCAATCTATTGAATAAATTGATATAAACAGAATGTAAACTGAATATTAATATATGAAGTTATAATGAGGTTACATCTTGCAGGTCCATCGAATCCTAATAGCCAATGAAACCAATGATTCAATCAATGAATAAAGAGACGTGCTGAATTCCATCGATAAATTTAAAAACTGTCTTGATAGATTTACAATGTCATCGAAGAAATAAGCGCTGAATTCAGAATCTTTCATGTTATCTTATTTAATAGAAGGGTGAAATTTTTTATTTATTTATTTATTAACAAAAATGTAGAACTTTAGATTAAATTTGCAATCTGCAAACTTCTTTGCAATGAATAAATTTTTTGGCAGCTTCACAGCTTCTTATCACGTCCGGGATATAAATCAGACAAGCAGGTCTCTTGGCCAACGCCTACGTAATCGTCGTAGTGGGCTGTACGGGTTTCTTGTACGATGAAGGATTTCTGTCAGAGGATTCATGTTGTACGTCAGTCTTTGGTGAAAGTTATTGTAGTTCTCTTTTGCAGTATCTAAAATTGTAGGTACGTTTAAGTCTTTATGTAGTGTATCATTTGTGACATAAAACGGTGCGTCAACTATCCTTCGCAACACTTCTGACTGAAAAGACTGAACTTTTTTAATATTGGAAGTTTTAGCAGAACCCCACAGTTCTATGCCGTAAGTCCAGATTGGTTTAAGTAAAACTTTATAAAGGGTTAGTTTTTTAGTTAAAGATAATTTTGAACGTCTGTCAAGTAATCTGGATAGAAAACCGTTAATATTTAAAAAAATATATTTTGGAGATAAAAATTATCCTGTTTATTTACGAATTGAGAGTACTTTCGCAATCTGAAAATATTTATAGCCTGTCCTAGTTTTCATTAGAAAAAAAACAAAAAACAATATAGCCATTTTAAAATTCACATCCATACATTTTAGGTCTCGCTGGAAGAATATGGTGAGATGAAGACATTCATGTTGAAGCCTTCTGGAGAACACGTTCCAGTGACGAACGATAACAGGCACGAATACGTCTCTCTCTACCTGGACTGGGTTCTCAATACGGCGATTTACGAACAGTTCCGGGCGTTCTATCTTGGATTTCATAGCGTTTGCGCTTCCAACGCCTTAATTGTATGGATTTTTATTTGTAATCACATTCATTTGATATTATAATTTATGCTACAGATATTTAAATGATCACATTGCAGATGTTAAGGCCAGAAGAAGTGGAAATGCTAGTCTGTGGATCCCCAGCGTTAGACCTGAACGAACTCCGCAAAGTAACAGAATATGACGGCTATAAGCCAGAACAATCACTAATAGTGTAAGTATAACATAACTATATAAATAAAACTAGCTGATGTACCCATCGTTGACGGGGGTATAATTAAAATGTGAGAATCTTTTTTTGAGATCAATTTTGTATTAAGGGGAGAGAACGGTCGAAATTCAATTTCATAAATTGGGTGGGAGGGAAGAGGGAGATTACTTTGAATTTTTTTATGGCGGGGCATATGGAAGTCAAGTTTTCGCAATAGTCATAATAAAAGCTTTGTTATTCGGCTATTTGTTTAGGTAGCATACAACTAAACCGACCACCACCGATCCATTAAAATTTGTTAAGTATTTAATTTTCTTTATGATGAAGCAAGGAGATTGTGGAATCGATTACTTAATCAAATAGAGTTGTAGTGTCTCCACTTCTTTAAACTCTGCTCAGTTTATCGCTGGCAAAATAACATTGGGCATTGAGTCACCTACATCCGTGTAAAATTAGAAGTTGATTTGAATATTGTGGCAGACGGGGTGAAATTTTTGGGAATTTTTTTTCCGTTTTCCGGCTAATCCGTCTGGTTAATCCTAAAAATGTATACGACAACATTTGTTAGGCTCGGAAAGTTGAATAGAATGACACCTTGAACGGGAAGATCGGGCAAAGTTGAAAAATGATTGTGTTTTAAGCGACAACGCGTTACAAATGTTCGGTATTCCGGATTTTTCCCGTTGAGTTATGATAATTTTTTCCATTAGATGGGTAGTACAAATTTTAAATTTGGATCGCGGTTGAGTAGGTTGAGATTAGAATCGAAGTAACTGCCTAACCGGTTCTCCAAACAAATTACTCAAGAATTCATAACTTTGGTTCTGCTCAATATTTTGTTTTTATTTAAAGCCTATATATTAAGTCAAGCAAACCTAAATATAATTTCAAAAGTCTACCATTAGCCATTGCCGAACTTACCCCTGACAAAATTTCGTTGGGCAATGCGGACATCCAGACAAAAACATTTTTAAAAGTGGATTTGGTGTTTGTAATGTATAAAAGGGAAAGACATCATGAAACGGGTTGATTCTATTCAATTTACAGACAAAAACTTTATTTTATTTATATAGATGTTCTTTAACCTATAAACATATGTTTATTATTAACATTTATTATCAACATTAACCGAGAACTCTAGAAAAATTACTCAAGAATCCACAACTTCGGTTCTGCTCAATATTTTGTTTTCATTTAAAGCCTATGTTTTAAGTCAAGAAAACTTTAATATAATGTTAAAATTTCAAAAGTCTACAATAAGCCATTTCCGAGCTTACCCCTCACAAAATTTCGTTGCAATGCGGACATACAGACAGACAACAATTTTTTTAAAAGTGGATTTGGTTTTTTGCAACGTATGAAATGGAAAGATATCATAAAACGTGTTGATTCTATTCAATGTACAGACAAAATCTTTATTTTATTTATATAGGTAAACATTTTGTCAGTACATTAAATAGAATCAACCCGTTTCATAATATCTTTCCGTTCCATACATTACATACACCAAATCCATTTTTTAAAAAGTTTTTGTCTGTCTGAATGTTCCTATTGTTTAACGAAATTTTGTCAGGGGTACGCTCAGCAATGGCTAATGTTAGACTTTTGAAATTTTGACATTATATTTAGATGTGCTTGGCTTAAAACATAGGCTTTAAATGAAAACAAAATATTGAGTATAACCGAAGCTATGAATTCTTGCGTAATTTGTCTAGAAATCCCGATTAGGTAGTTACTTCGATTATAATTCTCAACCTACTCTACTGTTAGCCACATTTAAAAGTTGTACTATTCAACTGATGAAAAAAATTATCAAAACTCAACGGGAAAGATTCGAAATTCCGAAATAACGCGTTGTCGCTTAAAACACGGGTAAAACACACTCATTTTTCAACTTTGTCCGATCTTCTTATTCAACTTCTCGAGCTTAAGAAATGTTGTTGTATACATTTTTAGGATTAACCAGACGGATTAGCCGGAAAACAGAAAAAAAATTTCACCCCGTCTGCCACAATATTCAGATCAAGTTCTAATTTTATATGGATATAGGTGACTCAATGCCCAATGTTATTTTGGTTATTTTGCCAGCGATAAACTCAGCAGAGTTTAAAGAAGTGGAGAGACTAAAACTCTTTTTGATTATTTCAATCGACTCCACAATCTCCTTGCTTCATCATAAATGAAAATTAAACACTTAAAAAAATTTAAGGGATCCGGGGTCGGTTTGGTTGTGTGTCACCTAAACAAATAGCCGAATTACAAAGTTTTTATTGTGACTATTGCGAAACCTTGACTTCCATAAGCCCCAATAAAAAAATTCAAAAGAACCCCCTCTCATCCAATTTTATAAAATTAAATTTGGATACTCCCCTCTTACCCCCCCTCCCTCATAATATAAAATCTATCTCAAAACAAGATTCTCAAATTTTAACTATACACCCGTCAACGACAGGTTCATCGGCTAGTATATAATATAATATCGTAAAATATTGTTGACAAGATAATATATCCACTTAGCAGTTGTATTAATATAATTGTTGGTCAAGAAATAGAAACCTCCTTGCCATTGGCGTAATTAGGTAAAGAGGTCCTGGTGTAAACACTTTTTTCTCATTTAAAATTAAACCAGCAGGCGTGGCGTGCCTCACACAATCATGCACTAACCTACCTAGTTTATTAACTAAATTCTGCCAAAAATAGATCTATTTAATGATTAATTATTATCTATTTTCAGCGATAAATACTTCTTCACGCTACCTCTCACAAAATACATATAATGTATCGGTATTTTTCATTGAGTCTAATTCTATCTTTTCTTAAGGTGGTCACGTTTTCTCTTTCATAGGAAGCGATAACATGAAAACTATTTATTTAAAGTAATAAAAAATTGCTTCCTATTGAACTTTACAAATTTTTGTTTAAGTATAAGTAGAGTTTTTCTTTGTCAAAACTATTTGAAGGGGACTTTTGAGTGGCCAAACTAAGTTACATTATTCTTTTAATTATTCGCGTTGTTTTTTTATCATACTAAAATTATATTACAGATACCTCACTTTCCTAAAAACTTCCTTGTTTATTAAGTTTTAATTGCATATCAATTTATTTAAGGTTTGCTTCAGAATAACATTGAGATTCTTTATTTGTGTGAAAAATTATGTGATTTTATATTCTGTCACTCTAGAGTATCTGTATTTTCAGCAAAAATAACAACCGAGAAATTATTGCAAAGTTTTAGTTCTGTCTTTTTCTTGTCACCTAACGTCTATTTTAGTAAATTAATTATGAAAATACACTTTTCAAGCATTAAAAAAAAAAAAGGTGTGTGCTTAGACCACACAATGGAATTAAAAACATCAACAAGGCGAGATTAATAATATGTACATTACATAAATTCATTTACTGATATATGTAATAAGAAAATAAACGTATTGAGGTCCCCTGAGTTCAAATAACCAAGGCTCACAAAATGGTCTGTGTGTGTGTGTGTGTAAGTATGTGAACAGCCGAGCTCAAAAACTAAAAGTCGTACGAAAATGAAATTGCTCTTTTGAGGCTTTTATATACATATTCAATTGCAATCATTGGTATTATATAATATTTCATTGTATAGATTACAGCGATATACAAATTTTAATTTGTAAATATAATTATTTCTATAATTTTGGTTTATTATTTTCAATAATGAACAATTCTAACTGTCGAAAAAATTGAGGTTTTACGTGTCATAATATGTAGAATTCGAAAATCGAATAAACATTTCTTGCCCGTCCGCGTCTTTTCTCCGAGACCATTGGACTGATTTTTCTCAAATTTGAAATCAAATCAAAGTCAGAGGTCACCCGAGAATGGTCCTCATACCTATCTGCATTACTATCCGCCCTTTCCTTCCAACATGGCGGCAGAAAAACCTGTGTTGGTATAAAATGTAGCGCTTAAACGAATGCACCAATTTCAATGAAACTGAGCTAAAATCTTCTCCTCGAAGCCTTTAAATATGTGTAGAGGACACACTTCATTGAAAAGTACTCCCCTTTGAAGATGGTGGTCGAATTTATTTAAATTAAATTTATCCACCTATATATAACGTACTCCTCGCGCGGGCTCATTACCGCGTATGGGGAGCGTCCCACGGGTGGCGGATGTGGGGATGGTCGGTGGAAATTCCTTGGAAGTTCCTCCCGGCTAAGTCCGATGGACTCGCTGACCAACAATGAGAGGGGCCCTCCAGACTTGCTGGAGGGAGGGGACCTCCAGACTTGCTGGAGGTAGGGGCCCACCAGACTTGCTGGAGGGTGTGACGTAGGATTGAACGCCCTACTCACATATCTTTAGTTCACCAAACACCACAAAAAGTCATGGATCTCCCTAAGGTAAAACGCTCATTATCCGGAAGTAAACTAGTCCCCCGTTCGGGTCTCCGGGTGGGGACTGCTTTAGGGGATTCATGGCGCAAGTTGAAATATAGGGATTTAAATATTGGTACGTGGAACGTAAGGAGTTTAAACACAGCAGGGGGGCTAAAATCGGTCGGGAATGAGGTAAATGGGTACAATTTGGATGTCGTGGCTCTGCAAGAGGTTCGTTGGCCAGGGGAGGGCTCGATGAGGGAAGGGAAGTACACTATTTGGTACGGAGGAAGCGGGAATCATTGTTTAGGTACCGGGTTTCTAATTAGGCGTAGATTACTATCCGCTTTGAGGGACGTACAATTCTTTAGTGATAGAATTTCGGTAGCTACATTTCAGGGACGTTGGTTTAAAATCGCATTAATAAACATACATTGTCCGACCGAAGACAGTGACGATGAAGTCAAAAGTGAATTTTACGATAAACTCGAATGGGTTTATGATAAACTACCACGAAACTACATGAAAATAATTGTAGGTGACGCGAACGCAAAGATAGGAAGGGAAGAAGTTTATATTCCGACGATTGGTAAAGAAAGTTTGCACGAATATAGTAATGATAATGGGATCCGTCTGATAAACTTTGCCATCTCGAAAAACCTGATAATTAAAAGTACGACGTTTAAACACAAGGATATTCATAAATATACTTGGACATCACCGGATTCGCAAACACGAAATCAAATCGATCATGTCTTGATACAACATAGCTGGCAAAGCAGTATAATTAATGTACGGTCTTATCGCGGAGCAGAATGTGGGTCGGATCATGAATTAGTAATCGCGAAACTTCGACAAAAACTTAATATAAAAAAGAGAAAAGAAAACCGTTTCGATTTTGAGAATTTTAATTTGGAAAAATTAAAAAACCCATTAATTAGAAACCAATTCGAGCTAGATGTTAAGAATAGGTTTGAAGCTTTAGAGCTTCCTGACGAGGACCACGAGGATATTGACAAGTTATGGATAGAGATCAGGGATAATATTAAAGCGGTCGGTAACTCGTGTCTAGGAAAAAAGGAAAATAAGAATAACAAACCGTGGTTTGATGAAGATTGCTTAAACATGTGTGAAAAAAGAAAAGCCGCTAAATTAAAAGCTCTAAATAATCCTAGCGAAGACAATCTGGAATACTTCCGAATCTCAAAGAACAAAACGACAAAATTGCTCAAAACTAAAAAAAGGGAGTATCTTAAAAATAAAATAATTGAAATAGAAACTAATAGAATCGAAAATAACATAAGAGACATGTACAAAGGTATAAACAGATCACGTAAATATGTAGGGCCCGTAACGTCTGGAATTAGGGATGATAATAACAATATTCTGACCGATCCGGTTGACATATTGAATAAGTTTAAGGACCACTTTGACAATATTTTAAATACGGGAAATTATGATCTGTGTCCTCCTTCTGAGTACCAGAGTGCTGAACCGTTAATAGAAGGACCAAGTAAAGAGGAAGTGGAAGTAGCTATCGGAAAATTAAAATCATATAAAGCAGCGGGAATCGATAATATTCCTACTGAACTAATTAAGGCATGTGGGGAAGCTGGAGTTTCTAAAATACATCGGTTGGTTAAAAAGATCTGGGTGAACGAGAAATTACCTGAAGAATGGAAAGAATCTATTCTTATTCCGATTCACAAAAAGGGTCCGAGGACGGATTGTAATAACTATCGGGGAATTTCACTCCTTCCGGTATGTTATAAAATATTCACTTCAATCTTAACCAGTCGAATCACGGAATACGCCGAGGAAATTATCGGAGACTACCAATGCGGATTTAGACGGAATCGTTCGACAATTCATCAAATATTTTCTTTACGGCAAATATTAGAGAAAAAGTTGGAGTATAACGGTATTGTTCACCAGCTGTATATAGATTTTAAAAAGGCTTACGATTATATTGACCGCCAGAAACTGTATAATATTCTAATCGAGCAGGGGATTCCAAAAAAACTAGTAAATCTAGTCAGGATGTGCTTGACGGAGACACTCAGTAAAGTTAGAATCGGTAATAATTTGTCCGAAAAATTTGAGGTTCGTTCGGGCTTAAAACAGGGGGATTCTCTTTCGCCTGTCCTGTTCAATTTGGCATTAGAACATGCCATTAGGGAGGTAATGCGTACCGAGAAAGGGTTGGATCTGGGCGGGACAACATCCGTGCTGGGCTATGCTGATGATCTGGTACTGTTAAGCGAAGACGTTGAAACTATAAAACTAAATACGACAACGTTAATGAAAGCCGGTAAAGAACTAGGACTCGAAATAAACGTGGATAAAACAAAATATATGGTTAGTTGCAAAAATGGCGATACTACTGGTGATATCGATATAGATGGTAATATGTTTGAACAGGTAAATAAATTTAGGTATCTAGGTTCTACGATAACTAGAAAAAACGAAATTGAAGAAGAGATTAAGGTTAGACTGAAGGCGGGGAATGCTTGTTATTTTTCTGTGACAAAACTACTTAGTTCGCGCCTCTTGTCCCGAAACTTAAAGATTAGAATCTATAAAACAATTATCTTGCCTATAGTTCTTTATGGATGCGAAACTTGGCCGCTTACATTAAGGGATGAGCAGCGTCTTAAGGTTTTTGAAAATAAAATATTGCGTAGAATATTCGGACCGAAGAAGGATGAGTTAACCGGAGAGTTCAGACGGTTACACAACGCCGAATTGCGTGAGCTGTATCCGGATAATATAATTGAGGTAATTTCATCGCGGCGAATCAAATGGGCTTGTAAAGTTGTTGGGCTTAGTAACGACAGAATTCCTAAAAGGTTAATATTTGCTGTGCCGAATGGTAAGCGTCCGAGGGGTAGACCGAAGCGAAGGTGGGAAGATTGCATTAAAGCCGACCTGAAGGGACTGGGTTTGGACGGCGAACGGTGGAGGGAGGTGTGTAACAAGCGATTGGTGGTGTCGGCATCGAACCTTCGGGTTCGCTAAGCCTTATTATTATTATTATTATTATATTATTATATATAACGTACTTCAACGAAAAGAAGCTGGGAAAAAAGTTACGAAGGGAGGTAAAATTAGATTTTCAAATAACTCGAGAAGTATAATCTTTTTTGGTGATGTTGTAAGTTGGTTATTTAAAAGTTTACGATTTTTACTAAAAACCAAAAAATTACTGTTTAGTTGCTTGATTTTTTGAACGTTTTACATCAACTATAGCAATATTGTATATTTTTTTAAAACAAATTATCAATAAAATAGAGAATTGTGTAGATCAATGTTAGGAATCCGTTTTTATTTATTTTTTTAATGTTACATGGAAAGTAATATCAATTTTGATGTTAAATTGTTTGAAAATAATAAACCATTGTGTAATAATTTCCAGCGTTTTTACTTTCATTTACCCTTTGTCTCAAAATACTTATTTCTGCTAATATGGCGGTAAGTTAAAGTCGTGTGATGCACGCACCAGATTTTTTATTATATATTACTGAATTAAAAGAAAAAAATACAGTTTTCGATAGTCTAGGTGTAATATCGATATAAAAAATGTAGATATTTCAATATTTTTACAAATCTCTATACTGACTGAATCCTCTGTAGGTTACAGTGCTATGGATTTCTTTATGCATATTGTTATAAATATATTAATTTACAAATGATGTCCTTCGACTAATGATTTCCTTCTTTGCAGAGATTTTTGGGAAGTGGTGATATCCTTAGACGAAGAGCTGAAGAAGAAATTCCTCCTGTTCACAACCGGCTCAGACCGAGTCCCAGTCGGAGGAATGAGCGAGATGACGTTCAAAGTTACCAAAACTAATCAAGATCCGGCCAACTTACCCGAAGCTCATACCTGCTTTAACCAACTTGTTCTTCCTCAATACGAGACCAAAGAGAAACTCAAAGAAAAACTGATCATAGCAATATCCAATGCTGAAGGTTTTGGATTAGAATAATGGGATTTGTTCTTATGTAGTGTTTAATATTTTATTTATTTCGATAATTAATGGTTGTTATTGTAAAGGCTGTTTTGCAAAGCTGTTTAGCTTTGTGTCGTTGTTAAGATGGACAAGTATCTAAACTCAGTGTTGGGCTCATTGGTGGGAATCTTTCAGACAGTTCATAATTCATCGATGGATCCATAAATGGAATACAAAGCGTTCCATAATTCATCGATTAATCAGATCAGGTTTTTAGAGTCGATAGGTAACCTCGATGTTGTTATATCTCAATTTTCTTTATATAAAAGGTACATGGGTTAAATTAAATAAATGAATTATTAGTAGATATTAAATAAGAAACAGTGTAGTTAAAATATCAAGTATTACATATATAGAAGATACAAACAAAAATAGAAAATAAGGGTGAATACAAATAGGAAACAAAGGTGAAAATAGTGTGTAAGTTAAAAGTAAACAGAGTGTGACAAAAGATAAGAAATGAGTGGATAAAAAATTGGTAAAGGTTACATTTGATAACTGTACCTTATGTATACTGTACGTTATTAACAGATAAAGAAAATGAGGGTTAAGGAATAAAGAAATTTAAAAATGAATAAGTAATAATCTAGTAAAGGTAAAATAAGAATAAGATAACGGTGGATAACAGCTAGTGGAGGTTACACTTGATAGGTAAACAGATAACGAGACTAAAGGTTAACAAATAAAGAAATTAAAAAACCAATAAGATAACAAGAGTTGTAATAACGTTAGGATAGATTTATTAAATATATATAATTCTATAAGAAAAAAATAGAAGAGAAATTTAGAATATGAGTAGAAATGTAAACAGGGTTGTTATGAAGAAAGGAACAGTATATATAAATGACAGTTCACATTCAGTTTTTTGAAAATTGTAATGTAATAGTAGGCTATATGAAGATTATAATATGGTATATAGTTAAAGGATGGGTGTGTTAAGAAATAATCATAATACAAGTCAAACATACCCTGGTAGCACTACTGAAAGCAGTTGGTAGACTGACACAGACTCGAAACAGGTCTGGTACACATAAGTACACACACCCTATAATTTACTTTATATATTTCTATTTCTATTTTGAAACTCAACAATTCAGTAGGTAAATATTTCTTAATATACTTCTTCATTTTTCCTGTAATTTGTAACATTGGGGGAGGGCTAACTTTCCATAGGGGTGGACGATGGCCAAGGTCTATAAAACAACCATGTAATTTTATAGATCTTAGGCGATGGTCGATAATACTATCGATATATCGATAGTTTAATACTATGGATAGTCTTAATATATATATTCTCGTCAACAAATATTTTAATTGTTTATTTAATATTTTTTTTAGTGCCTAAATCTTTAAGAATGTATCCAACATAAATGTTTATCATTGTTTTGAATCGTTTATAAATAAATAAAGAATACAGCGAAAATAAATCGTCCTTAAGTCTTTGGCAGGAAATTACTGAACTATCGATAGTTTTTCATCGGTTGTTAAACTATCCATAGTGGAAAACTATCGAATATAACTTTCCGCTTAAACCAACAGATCAAATCGTACGTCAACTCGGATTTAGCGCTGAGTTTAGCAACTTGTCCTAACGAATTGTAATAATGAATTTATACTTGTGATATTCTGTTTCACTTAAATATTTTTGAATGTTAATATCATTTATAAACTAGGCACCAATAATTTAGATTAGAAATTGATCTTTTATTTTTCAATGTTTGAAGTCAAATATGTACATATAAATTTTATTTTTGAAATTCATAATGTTCACCAAAGCAAGTGAGCTTTAGCATTAATGAACTTCTTAATATATATCCTCAACATATTATAATTCTACGTAAGAAAACTGCATGATTTAAGTCAGAGGTCCCCAACTCTGAGCCCGCGGGCACCATTTTTCCGTGTGACATCACGTGTACCTAGGGATGTTGCAATATTATCGATATTTTACTTTCGATATTACTCAATATCGTATCGCAAAGTGGTATTCGATATTTTCGTCATATCGAAAGAAATATCCAATATTTTTTGTTTCTTTAGATATTTAAATAAATATGTCTGTATTTAAGTTGTTATTTTGATTGCTTTAAGTTTCTTTTTGTCTGTATGTATTTCTTTATTTCTTATGTATAATTATTTTGCTGCTGTTTTATTTCATTTATTTTTATTTATTGTAAATAAATTATAAATGAGCTACTCTACCACTATTACTAATGTCCTTAATTGTGATGAAATGTAATGTTACTCAATAAAGAAATGATTTTTAAAAAGATATTTAAATAAATATTTTTAATTAAATACAATTTAACTATTTAAATACCTTCATTTAAGTGAGTGGATTTAGATGCTCGTATTTTGTAATTAATACTTTACTGATAATTGTACTCAGAATAAACTACTAGTTAAAAGTGTTGTGCAAAATATTAAAGGCAAAACTTGTTAACGAATATCAAAGTTTAGTTAAATATAAACTCATCGCAATTTGAACAACATTGGCGGAAATTTCGGAACTGCTTTTCATATCTTAATACTAGGAGGAAGATATGAACACAGTGTCAAGAAGAACAAATTTTATCGTTGATTTGGTACATTTTGGTTGATTTTTCCTGTACTATTTGTGAATAAATTATTCACAAGATTATTCAATCCATGTCTCACTGTTCGTCATTTTCAGTTTTAAAATGTAATTGGTAATGTATTTTTTTGCTTCGGTGGTAGATATACTAAATTGGTATTGTATTTAGTTATTTTGAAAAAAATTTCATTAAATATAAATATCATTTGATATTTAAAATATCGATATTTTTAATTCAATGTTAAACTCCAGCCAAGTCATGCTGCATCGATCTGAACAATTGGTAATCAGAAGGCGCCATGTTTGGTGAGTACGCTGGGTGCGGCAGAACTTCCCATTCGAGCTGCAACAGTGTTCTTCACAGCTCTTGGTACGTTCGGCTGGGAGTTGTCATACAAGAGGATGACTTTGCGTTTGTTACTCGCTATTGCTGTTTTTTTTTCTTTTGCAACAAGACGTCATTCGATCTGTTTAATTAGAGTCGGTAAACATCTGTAGTAACATTTTTATTCGGTTTTAACAAATCGTAATATATAACACCTTCCTGATTCCACCATATGCACAAGACTTTATAACTATGAATATTCCGCATCGGTGTCGATTATGATGGCTCTCCAGAATCACAGGCGGATGTACGAGGGGAAGACAGAGAGCTTATAACTCATAACTATGTTTTATGAAAAAAATGAATAAAAAATTATTTCTTAAAGGATTATTGCTTGTGTACTATTAATATGATTTCAAGAATCGCTTAAACACCCTTTCATATAGGTAGTTAGTTCTTTCTTTAAAAAGTAATTATAGTAATATATAAGAAAAAAAAGCTCTCGGGCTGAAGTCTCCCTCCCCCCTTAAAAATTAAATCCTAGATGAGCTAGTGTCCTGAATCAACCCTTGACTATTTGCACTTGTCATTGTCTCGGTATATCCATTTTTCATCGCCAGTCATAATACGTCTCAGAAAACTTTTCCCTTTTGCCTGGCAAGCAATGGAAACGTTTCGAAATAGCATTTTCAGTCAATTCGTGTGGTACCCATTTTTCCTCCTTTTGGATCTTTCCCGTCGCATGCAAACGTTTGGAATCAGTTGCTAAGCTATCTGAAAGTTCTTTGAGAGTTTTAGCATAGTTTTTCTCATATAAGTCTTGCAATTGATTGTCTTCGTCTTTTTTTGGTCCTCCAGACCTTTTTGTGTCAATGACATCGAAATCACCACTCTTAAATCGTTGAAACCAGAACCGAATGGGATATGATGGAGCAGCATCAACATAAGATTCTAAAAGTGTCTGATGAACTTGGCAGCAGATTTCTTCAAATCAAACAAAAAAAAAAAAGCAATGACTGTCGAAGCATTCCATGAATGGGGTCTGAATAACTTAATACTGGAAAACTTTCAAAATGATGACAATAAAGTAATACTAAATCGATAATAACCAACACCATTGTTTATGTATAGGTACAATTTCTTTTAAAATTATCATTAATTGACTTCATAGTATTTATTTATTTATTTACAATGCTGGTAATTTGACATTGAAGGCACCTAATCACTAATAATGTGCTCATCAGCGTTTACACCATATTTTTTTAAATTTCCTTTTTGGTCTTTCAGATTTTCCTTTTTTTTTTCTCCCAAATATGAACAAAGTAATATGTAAATAATAGTTTTATATATCGCTAGTGTTAGTGGAAAAGGTCATATGTATAATTTGACATGTTTATTCTCTTTGTGCTAAAGGTGACATTTTGTATTCTGCAACGGCTAAAATTATTCTGCTAAATAGGAAAATAGCAGAGAGAAATAAAATATGAAATTCTACTGATAGGTCATAAAGAAATATCGATTTTTAATTGATAAAAATTGTTTTCAATTTTTTCTTCTTTCAACCTCGGTATTTTTTTCAAACTCGAACTTTTTCACCAAAGTGAAAACCCTAGTGGTCATTGTTTTTTTATGGTATTTTAATCATATTCTTCAAGTTATATAGCACTGACCAACGAAATACAATGCAAATATCATATTACCTTTTGGATTTATATTCCTTAAAATATATTTATCTAACTTATATGTAACTAGCTAACTACCAAGGCGCTACAACTCTGTGATGAGTCTTGGCCTCCTCCAGTCATCTCTTTTCTGTGCGGCCATCATCCAGCTTCTGAAGCCTAGGACATCCATGAGTCTCTTGCCATACAATCTGACCATTTTAGTTTTGGCCTCCCCCTGTTTCTAGTGTGGGAGAGAGGTTCTGTCAGGATCATCATCAGGATTGCTTCATTCTCCATCCTAGCATCCTAGCCCGTCTCAGTCTTCCAAGCTTCATTCTCAAAACAACATCTTGATCATTAAAAATCGAGTAAATTTTGGTGTTTCCCCACCTTCCAATTTCCATTGACCTGCACTCCTCCAAATATTCTTCGAAGAATTTTTCTCTTAAAGATTAGGAGGTCTTGCTCAATGCTTTTAGTTGTCATCCATGTTTTTGATTAATGATTTGTAAAGATCTAGCTTGTTCTGTCGGGATAGAAGGTGAGAAGTAAATTTTTTGTGAAGTGCAAAGTAACATTTGTTAGCCATCAATATTTTTTTCTTGATCTCGACCTCAGGTACATTGTCAATAACTAATTTATATTATTATTAATATTTATTTCAAATAAGAATACGGGAAATACATTTTAATACATTAAACTTATTATTTTTCATTGTTATTAACAATATTAATCAATGAAAAATCTAATAAAAACACAGATTGATGCTCACAACTTAAATATTTACCTATAAATGTGCCATCAAAAGTTGGGGATACCTGATTTGTCATTTAAAAAAATAAAAATTACTATTGAAGTAATAAATAGAATTATTTTATTAATATTTATTTATATATTTGAGGATATAAATTGTAATTCTAATGTTTCGATTTTATTCTGTATTACTTTCATCCACTAACAGAAAAAAAAATAATAAAGGAAAATATATATATATATATATATATATATATATATATATATATATATATATATATATATATATATATATATATATATATATATCAAACATTTTGTAATTACCTTAAAGTTTGTTTAATTATTATTAATTTAATTACAGATAAACAGTTTCTATTGTTTCATACTACATAAATATATTCTTACTGATTGTAAGCTAATTAATAAAATGTTAAAAGAATAATTATTTTTATTAAAATTTAACTTATAGTAAAGAAGGAAAACTTACAATAATTGTATTTTAATTATGATATAGAACCAAAGATAAATAAAGATATTAACCAAAAATAATTATAAAATCTAAAGTTACTAAAATAAAGAGTACAAAAATAATATTGATAAGAAAAAAAATTACTGTAAAATTGGTTCGTTTATTACTTATAAACAATAATAGAAAACAGTTTAAAAAATGTTGACGTATGTCCTATACTATTGCTTTTAGTTTTAAATATTACTGAAGTTATTTAAAATAAAATTGCAACAGAATATATTTTTTAATAATGTATAAAAAATATTTTAATAACAAGTAACAAAGCCATTATTATTAATTTTTAATTATATTATTTAAGCTGTTGATGATAAAACAGCTGTTAATTACCAACTATTGAATTAAATAATAATAGTATTCCTGTTTATTTTTTTCTTGTAAATGGTGTATATTTATTTGTTTGAATAAATTGTTTAAATGTTACTGATTAATGTTGAAACTTAATAGAAAAATGTGTTATATTTTATAAAAAATTGTTTAAAAAAGAAACTAAATACAAAATATGATAACTAATGATTATTTTCTTGTTTTGAAACTAATTTTTTAAATGCTTATGTTAGGGATTGAAAACATTTGATGTGGTCAATGTGTCATTTACAGTGGACAACTCTATTGATTAGCACTAATAAACTCTTAATTGAGAAATGTACGGTTCTGCTTTTTGAAGATGAATAAACTGCTTATTAAACTGGTGTCTTTCTTAGTTGATGCAGTAGCCTCCAACCAGTGTACTGGGCACGATCCCCCTTTCAGTGTTGTGTTAGACCTTTTTAAATCAACATGTCTCTCATATGAACACATTCATTTTGTATTTGCATATGTACCTGTAAATACAACAAAATCATAACCTATATTTTAATATAATTTATAATATTTCTAATCAAGGACAAGTTTTAATAAATTCTTTTTAATTTATTTATGGAGAAATCTTTAGTGTTTTTTTATCTTATGGTGACATCGTCATACATCGAGTAAGTAAAAGAAAAGATTTTTAAATTTTTTAAAAATGCATCTATCTAATATTAAATCGATAGGAATGGAGTAAATGGACAAATAATAGGATTCAGAGTGGAGTCCAGTACTGGGGTGGATTTTGTCGAAGATTTGATACCGGAATTTCAAGAAGGCGCTAACATCGTACTGAGATTTTTTGGAAATTTTAAACAAGGTGATGAAATCGGTCTAACAGACCACATCTCAACATGTAACTTCCTAATGAAGGATGATTTTCCTGTAAGTACTTATAAAGAAAACTTTTAGGGTGATAATAATAAGTTCATTTATTGTTTGGAATATCAAAAACTTTGTGCTGTCATTAGTATTGAGCATTATGTCTGTGTAATTGAACTACTTCATATAAGCCTCTACAATGCAGGAAAATAAATACTACACAATTTTAAACCTCAAGTAGAAGAGAATACAAAATTCACCATCCATTTATTGCAAAATGTCATTAAGTAACATTTTATAAAATTAAATCACTATGTATTTTGATGAGTTTGCCATATATTGCTTAGTGTAACTATTATTATTTAGTCGTTATTTTGCTTTTGTTTTATATTTTTATGGACATATAGTGTGAATGTAGCCTTACCTCACAATAACTATTGTCCAATAGTCAGCATCTTATATTGTTCAATAAATAAATAAAATTTGTTAACAGGGAAGTGTAATTATATTTGATAAATAAAAGGATTTGTGTCATTTTAATGCAATTAATATATTTTTGGATGGATAAATAAGATCAAAATTCACAAAAATATTTTTAAAAATTTAGTTCCATCAAAATTCGACTTAGTGTCTTTTTGGAATAAACAGATAATCTAGTTTCTTAACAATTTGAATACTAGGATAGGACAATTTTAATAATTAGAAGAAGATTTTATGAAAATTAAGATGGATGTATTTGTTAAAGAACTATTTAATTTTCCCAACTCTTTTGGATATGAACTTTTCATTTTACTGTTATGAATTTAAAACTTTATAAAAATAATATTTTTTTTTATCCATAAAACTCAAATATCTTAAACCAAGATATATTAATGTTGGTATTAAATTTTAATAATTCTTTCTTTAACATCAAATTTTCTAATGTTTTCTATTTTTAAATTATTGACGTAACACTTGATTTTTTAACATAGTGAGATACCAAAACAATAAAGATAATATCAACATTGATTGGACAATAAATAAATTAGTTTTATTGCTTCATATTTTAGGAATACAAAGAATTACAATTAAAAAACAAAATCTTAGTTAAAAGTTTAAATTTGTTTGTAAAGTTAACAATTTTTAAAGTATCATAACTTCTAATTAATGAGCACTCTACACTTTGGCCTTCATTAATGTAATGGTTGGTTCACTTTAATATCTTGATCTGAAACTGTACCATAAATTAACACAATTTTAATAAATTATTCTGTACAGAAAGGATCAATATAGTTTCTATTTATACCGTGAAAGTTTTCTTTTTCTGTTGTATTTATTTTATTTTTCCTTTAATTTGATAAAATAATTGGGGCTCTGCCCCATCATCAGAAATTCTTTCAATACTATATTATTGTAAATCTGTTAATTTCATGCTAAAACTCGCTTCAATTCCTTGCCTATGGTTGAAACTCTACCATAAATTAACTCAGTTTTAAAAACATGATGAAAAAACATTATTTATAAATAAGAAAAATTAGGTTCATAAAATTCAGGATTCATATTATTAAAAAAATGATATTGACCATAATTTCACAAAAGAATGATCCAAAATTACTCTTTTTTGAGAAAAAAAATGATTAAATTTGATATAAAACTCTTTAAGAAAATTATTTTTGCTGTTATGATGATCTCCCTGATTTACTTTGATTTATTCACACAAACATTTTCATTTAATTTTACTTTATTTAACAAATTTAAAATGATAAAAATCTTATCTGATCATTTATAGTGAGTCATAATTGAATATTTTTTGATGTTTCATAAATATTATCTATTACAAATGTTTTGAATAAATATCATAACTGATTCTGCTAGATTAAACATTTTTTTTAAATATCATGGTGTAATTTTAGTTAATTAACTAAAATATGATTCTATAACATTATAATAAAAAATTATAAGCTCTGCATCTGTGAAAAAATATATTAATCCAATCCATGATTTTTAAAAACATGGCAATATAGAAAATAGTCAAAGATCTTGAAAAGAGTTAATAAATTTTTAAGTGTAGTTTTGCATGACCATTTTCAAACTGCATGATCTCCAATTGTGTAAGAGCATAGTTCATGAAAACTTATCTTTAAAAATTAAAGTTTTATTCTAACAGCTAACCTTTAAGCAATATACAAATTAATACATTTATTTCATATTAATTTTTATTGTTATAATACAGGAGAGTTATTACATTTTTCCCCATTAATAATTAAAATATTTGTTTTAATATTGTTTAGATTACTGTAGAATCGGCCGAGTTAGCGAAGGTATCTTTGGAGCTACCAATTTTATCAGAACATAAAACAGCTGTGTATTTTTGTTTGAAGAGGGGTGCAAACTGGACCCACCAAGGAACATCAGAATGGTTAAAGTTTTATGTAAGGCACCCGCTGTTGCCGATGTGGATAAATATGGTTGTCATGGTATTTTCCATTCTTTTGTCTTCTCTGTTCAACGGTTTAGCGCTTGGTCTTCTATCCTTGAACGTTACAGATCTCAAAGTGATAGCAAATGCAGGTGAAAAAAATGAGAAGAAATATGCTCAAACTATTTTACCTGTCCGGCAGATGGGAAATTATCTGCTTTGTTCGATATTACTTGGTTCTACAGCTTTTAACTCAGTATTTACAGTTATTCTCGATGAATACTTGAGCAATGGGATAACTATAGTTACTTCAACTTTGATTATCGTGATAGGATGTGAAGTGATGCCATGTTCAATCGTGCCGAGATTCGGTCTGATGATGGGCGCAAAAACAATATGGTTAACTCGTATGATAATGATCATCACAGCACCAGTATCTTATCCCTTGGGAAAATTTTTAGATGCAATACTCGGAGAAGAAGTTACTATGTATACCAAGGAAAAATTCAAAGAGCTACTTAAGGTATATATTAACAATACAACTAACTAAACAGTTTCTCTTTAAAACAGTTTAAATTAATAAAATTTTATGTGATTGGGAAGTAGAAAAAAAAAAGTATGTATGTCAAATTATTTCAAAATAATAATAACAAAAAAACACTATTCCATTTAGAAAAAGTAAAAATTACTCTCATAATAATATCTTTGAATGGTATAGTATTGAAAAGTACAATAGAAGATACCAAAAATCATGGACTTGACATATTTAAAAACAGCTCTAACAGTCCTGCTCGATAAGTGCATGATTGTAAGACAATATATAAATAAATAAAATCTTATGTCTATATTCTCTTGAAATGTTTTTCCGGGATGAAGATATTCCAGATATCTGAGAAAGCAAAGCAAGTAAATAATAATAATTCAGTTTTTTTTTTTTTATTACGGTAAAAAGTGGCACTACCAAGAAAACAATTTAATAACAAAATAATTTTTATTTTTATATAAGGTCTTAGGCATTTTAATTAACTTCCACTATTATTATTTTTAAATAATTACAAGCTGGTATACATTTCAGGAAAATAAGTCCCATATATAGAACCATTGTTTTCTAAAATTACAGAACAATAATATACACTTTAACTAAACTTTACAGTATGTAATTGTTTACTAATTTTAGAAAACAGTAGTTCTGAAGGTGAGGATTATTGCCGTGAAATATTAACTAACATGTAACTAATAATGAAAAATAATAATGTAAACATGCAAGTTAATCAAGATGTATAGGATCTTATGTAGACTTAAAATGGTTTCTAACCAAATTTGAAAATACAGTAATTTTTACTATTTATAGTGTTAAAATGTTTTTTTATTAAATTTTATCTAATCATGAATAAATAAAAAACAAAAACCTTTTATAAATTTATAATTTAAATACCATTTTATATATAGTTGGTTTATTGCAAAAAAATCATCAAGTTACATTCCATAATCCTAAGTCATTAAGAACTTTGAAGAATTTTCTCTTTGTGGAATCAGAACATTGTGCTCTTCTTGTAATTATATTTGATATATAAAAGAATTTGTGTCATTTTTATGCACTTATAATATTTTTTTAATCAATAAATAAGGTCAAAATTCATAAAAATATTCGTAAAAATTCAGCTCTATCAAAAATGTACTTAGCGACTTTTTGCAATAAATCGATGATAAGCATAACGAATCTGAAAATAACCACATATTTTTCATTAAATCTCCAAACTTTTCAAGAGCATATATTAATAATAAAATTTACGATTGCAAGGAAAATGTTTTATTTCACCCTTATACATTTATTCCATGCTTTAATTCCTATAAATTTGCCGACGACAGATTTTTCTTTGTGTTTCATTATTACGTATCATATATTTTATGTTAATAAGTATTTGGATAAAAACTCATCACATAATATATAATATTATCCTAAAATTCTCAATAATAATGTACAAATAAAAAATAAAATTTGACAAAGTCACAGAAAAAGTAGTTATGAGTATGACATGACTTAGTTCTATAACTAAAACAAAAAAGTGAGAGATAATTTTTTTTTTCGACAGAAGATATTCGTTCATAGGTTAGCAAAATATGATAAACAATATTTTAGAATAATTTTTTAACTTATTTTATGTATTTTTTATACTTTTTTAATCAATTCTAAATTAAATATATCAAACAGGATTCAAGAGGAAGGAGATGGTCTGGGGTGGCAGTCATTAAGAGACTAAAATAGTGGACAACTATTTTATTTCAAGCCAACGCTTCGACCCGACTTTGCAGGTCTTCTTCAGGGGAGTACGTTCAGCAAGGGGTTTCAGTTAAAACTCAGTAAAAAAAAAAAATCAAGACAAAAATTCAGTTTTAACTGAAATTTCTTGCTGAAAAATCCCTCTGAAGAAGATCTGCAAAGCCGTGTCGAAACGTTGGATTGAAATAAAATAATTTTTCCACTATTTTAGTCTCTTTATGACCGCCACCGCGGACCATCTCCTTCCTCTGAAATATATAACGGTCAACCACTAAGTATTCAATCAAACAGGTTTCAAAATAAATTTCTAACAAAATTTATTATTCATAAAACCCACAAAGCATAAATATTTTAATTAAAAAGGATCGCATTTTTAAATCAGCTGATTTTCAGACTTTTAAAGAGCTACTATTTATTAAAAAATAATTTTGATTTACAAAGGAATTTTTCATTTTCTTTTTCCACAGCTTACAAGTCAATATTCTCACGTTAAGAACGATGAGATAGCTATAATATCTGGAGCTCTGGAAATGAACACAAAAAAAGTGGAAGATGTTATGACACCCTTAGAAGATGTGTACATGCTACCGATAACTTCCTACTTAGATTTTGAAACAGTCGCAGGAATAATGAAATCAGGTAAAACTTATAGATTGTTGTCAAAGACTGGATTTATGAATGGATTATAAAATTACATATTTAGTTAGCTTTTTTATTACATTTTTTATGAAGTAAGCCTATAAGTAAGGCAATTGATATTTTCATGGATATATGTATTTGAATATTTTTCATTTTTTTCTAATTATGAAAAACTATTTTCATAATTTTTTTATTAAAATAAATTTTAATCTAAGAATAAATAACATAAGAAAACAAGACAAACTTGAAATGGAAAATGGACACAATTTTTCAATTTAGTTTGTCAAAAAATCTTTTATAACAAATCGAACCCCTTACAAGTGACTGAAGGTTAAATTTTGTTAATTCGAATATTAGTTAGGTAGTTTATTTTAAAGCAAAAAAATGTAATCGTAACAATTGATTTTTATTCATAAAGAAATTATTTTTTAAATTATACAGCTATATAAGAAATGCCAATGACCCTTTGGGATAGAGGCATTACCACAATAAAAAAATAAAAAAAAATATATATATATATATATATAGCTAAACTTTTAACATTTCTTTTATGTGCTTAAGTTCATCTTTGTTTTTAAAAATTTAAAAACTACTTGCTTTTGCTTTGATCTTAACTTTTCTTTTATTTCAGAAATTATCTGAATAATAAAATGTACCTTTCCTTTCCTAAGTTCAACATTACATATTTTGCATCAACTTTTTTTTTTTTTCTTACCTTAAGAACTAATTTGTAATGTATTTTTATTTTAATATTACATAAAAAAAGTAATTTAATTTTTAATGTATTTCTGTTATAAGCATATTATGACACTTTCAAATTATCATAGTTATATTCAATCATAAATTTTATTACTTTTTGAGTATGCACAAATACATTTTTTTTTACATAACTTTTTTTTCTGACTTTTCGGGAGAATGTAATTATTTTCTAGCACTCATGGAAAAGATAACACTAAAAAATGTGCCTTAATCATGGGATTTGATGAAGAATTAACAAAGATACAATGTACCCACAAAAAAACATATTTGAGAAATAATACATAAGGATTAACGGGTTTCTTACTATATATATTTCTTCTTTTTTTCATATTGAAATTAAGTCTCTGAATACTGTGTATAAATTAATTCCTAAAATACTGAATTGTCTTCTTTCTTAAATTAAAATATATTTATAAATTATTATTTTTGTTGAAAGGTTATTCCAGAATTCCTATATACGATGGAGAGAAATCTAATGTAGTGGCCCTCATTTTCACAAGAGACTTAGCTTTATTGGACCCAGATGATAAGACCCAAATTAGACTCCTGGTAGAAATTTACAATCATGAAGTTGTCTACATGACGGCTGACACTACATTAGATGTAGCTTTTAGTATGTTTAAAGAAGGTATTTAATGATTTTTTTTAAATTTAAACTATGAAATTGATTTTTAAAAATAAATTGTATGTAAATTAAAAACATTATTAAGGAAGAAGAGGGCACCTGGCATTTGTTACTACGCTGAAAGATGGTGAAAAAAGACCTGAAGTAATTGGATTAGTGACATTAGAAGACGTCATTGAAGAGTTGATACAAGCTGAGATTGTAGATGAATTTGACTGTATCCGTAAGATCATGATAGTATAACTAAAATAAAATAACATAAATGTCATTTCATTAAAATAGGTCATTTCATTATTTGGCAATATATTCAGCCTTAGAAAATCTATTAAAATAGTATTTATTTGATCACACCCCTGAATAACTCCTCCTCATAAGTTTTTTTGGGTTTATCTTGTTACTTGCCATTTCTAGCATAAGAGAGAGGAGAAAGATTTGTTCTAAAGGTACAGCCAAACCTATTATAATCATAGTGAGAAGGTCGAGATTCATTCTGTGGGTCCATCACAAATTAAATTTCAACCTGCACAGACCAGATTAGAATCAGTACAACTAGACTCAAGAATATTAATACAGGCATCACTTTCAGACGCTTGGTCATCACATCCTCCCTAGTCAAAGTAACTGTACACTAACCTGAGAAGTAAATGGAGAGTTTTTAAAAGTATTCGGTCGCACATTTTTGAAAATCTCATTTTGCACCACTGTCTCAGTTCTTTGACATCCTTAATTAATTAATTGGCTAAATAACGTAATTCCAACAATTAAATTAAGGGAGATTTAGAGAATAAATAGTAATGAATGGGTAAGAAAAAAAAATGTACATTACATTTTAAAATCATACATTTATCTTAGCCAAAATGCCTTATTTTCATGAAATGACACATTACCATGATGGTGATTGTGATTTCGTCTTTTTTTTTTTTTTTTTTCAATAGTGGATAATCGATCAAAGAGAAAAAGAGAAAGAGCTAAAATGGCCAGTGACTTTCTGACTGTTTTTGCAGAAAAATTTGAAAGTCGTACAGTTTACATCTCCCCGCAGCTGAGAATAGCAGCTTTCCAGTATCTAGAATTTGGTAAGCTATTCAATTTCAGATGAACGATAACACTAAACACAGATGATTAAGATTGAAGGGTAATTAACATGTTTCATTAGCGGACAGGCCTTGATGTCCAGTTTAAATTAATTGATGCTAATGATTTAATTTTCTAAGCATAGACATTTGCTCAACAAGTCAACAAATAATGACAGGCCAATAAAGAAACTGGTTATGACTATGTTAGTAAGAACATAATTTATTCAGAATATAAACATTAATTATATAAAGTATAATGTTTAGTTTGGTTAAATATAATATTTAAATTTTTAAAAAATAAACAAAATAAATAAATATACTTTATGACAAACAAGTCTATTTTGGTTATTCATTAAATGTGGCATCTTTATTTAATTCTTATATTCAATCAATAATAGAGTAAAGTTTAAAAAAACACAAATAAAAATATTTTTATAAGAAAAATAATTTAATGTTTTAACATATTGGCCATTTAAAAAAATTATAATATAAAAGATGACAGTCTAAAAATTTTAAAATACCATTTTACCTTGGTGAATGGCATTTTTGAACAGTTTCTAATTTATTTCAATTTAAAACATTTGGTTGACTGACAGTCTAAAAAGGATTTTTAGGAGAATGTTCTTTTAAACCTTAATATATTATTGATTAAATGTAAATATTAAATATATTTCTAAAAATATTGATAATATAAAACATGTTAAAAGTGCTTTATTTATTTTTTACCATACATCTTAACTAAAAACAGAAAGATTTAAAAAAAAAAAATGTCAAATAAAAGGTATATCAAAAGATTCATTGATAGAATGTTAAAGGACATTGATGAATGTTAAAGGATCAAAATGGAAATATTACATCTCCGAATAAAATTAATAAGTAATCAATATAAATAAAATAAAGGTTTTTCTGTACATTGCATAGAATCAACCTGTTTTATGATATTTTTCCGTTTCATACATTGCAGACACCAAATTTACTTTTTTTAAATTGTTTGTCTGTCTGTATGTCGGCATTGCAACAAAATTTTGCCAGCGGGAAGCTCAGCAATGGCTTATTGTAGACTTTTAAGATTTTGACATTATATTAAGGTTTGCTTGACTTAAAACATAGGCTTTAAATGGAAACAAAATATTGAGTAGAACCAAAGTTACAAATTCTTGAGTAATTTATCTAGAGATCTCGGTGAATGTTGATAATAATTGTTAATAATAAACATATGTTTATAGGTTAAAGATTATCTATATTAATAAAATAATGGTTTTGTCTGTACATTGAATAGAATCAACCCGTTTCATGTTATCTTTCCATTCCATACATTACAGACACCAAATCCACTTCTAAAAGATTTTTTGTTTGGATGTTCGCATTGTCCGACGAAAGCACAGCAATGGCTAATGGTAGACTTTTGAAATTATATTTAGGTTTGCTTGACTTAAAATATAGGCTTTAAATGAAAACAAAATATTGAGTAAAACCAAAGTCAAAGTTATGAATTCTTGAGTAATTTGTCTAGAGATCCCGATTAGGCAGTAATATAGGGCACACATCAGCTAGTAATAAATACTTTAGAAAATCATATTCCTAATTCATAAGAAGAAAGAAATCATATTTTTATAAGCAAAAAGTGAGATTTTAAATTAAGAATTTATTTTTAAAATTTTATACTTATAAAGATATATAAATTAATTTTTTCCAATTAACTATCACTAGTACTTTGGCATATAATTTTTCTTAAATTGTGATTTTTATGTGTGTGGACCAATTTTATGCCAAGAAAAATCTCAATTCTAAACAACTTTCTTATATAACTGATACTGCGTCGATTGATTAGAAATGCTAAAAATTGTCACAATTGATTTAATTAAAAGAATACTTATAGTACTACCAGCATATCTATACGTGATATACTCTCCTCTCTTCAAGTTTCCAGAATCTGTCAACAACATACCTTAATTTTGTTTTTTAAATACTAATAAGATAATAACTGTAATTTTTTTTTTGTCATAAATGAGACTAATACCATCCAAGTGTTTGGGCGCCAGACAGAAATAAATATTCACAATTCTTTCTGGCTCGCCTTCCTTATCGTTACATCTAGCCAAATTAAATATAAAATAATTATTCACAATTGTTTTTGATAAAATTAATAAGAGTAAAGAGTACAGAAACATAATTATTCAGGAAAGTGTTTGTGGACCATCTTGATTCATATGTTCTCAACCAGAACTTTTTTGGACATAAATAATGAATTATAATTTTTTTTTTGTTTTGTTTATTTCTTACAGAAGTGGAAGCATTTCATAAAGAGAAGGTCTCTCCAAATGTATTAAGAAGACTACTCTATCAAGGAGTTATATACCATGTTACTTCTAAGAAGAAAACAAAAACTGACAAACCATTAATAACAACTGGGGTAGGATTCATAACCTATCAATATTTAGTCAATTTATTTGTTTTATAATTAACTTATTAATAAAAAAATTAATAATGAGAGAGAGAGGAGATAGGACTGATGAGACTCATGGATTGCTTTATAAGCTTCATTTTAGAGATTCCGAGACATTCACATGTTTTCTACTGGTACACTGACTTAAAGTGGCTCTATCCAACATCCCAACAGCAATTCCTTCTTGGTCTTTTCCTTTTCTAATTCGTCATAACCAAAAGTCTTTCCCACATCCCAGAACTCCATACTCAACAATCTATCCACTATCTTAATACCAGGTCTCAAACCAATAGATCGATATATTCAGTATATCCTTCGTCATTTGTGCTACCTTCTTTGGAAATATCTTACCTATCTCCAAACGTCAAACCACGTCCACAAATTCCTTCAAACAACTCCTATTCCATCATCTACTTCACATTCAAACTTCCACAACCATATATGAATTTTTAGATAACGTAATTACAATTACTTACTAATAGTTCATTGATAAGAGCAATTTTATTTTTGTATTATTTCTACATGCCAGACTGATGTATATGTTATCTTAAACCCTGTTATTAATCTTAGAGGATTTTAATCCCAGAATAAAATTATTTTTCATTTCATTTCATTAATAAAAAAAAAGAGAAAATAAAGTCAGCACTATCTTCAAGACTACGATTACACTACTATATAAAACTAAACTGTTAGTTTGTGTAGGAAGCAGCTCAGTCGTTTGTTATGGTGTTAGAGGGCAGAGTTGAAGTACAGTTATCGGGCCCAGAAAAATTAAAATTCGAAAGCGGTCCATTTACATGCTTCGGCCTCTGTGCGCTCACATCAAGCACAGGCAGGTGAAAATTAAAACAATAAAAATTTGAAACTGTGAAATAACAATATCAGTAAACTTTTAATTATTATTTACAGATCTCACGGAGAAATATGATTATACTGTTACTGCACTTGGAGAAGTAAGATTTTTAAAAATCTCCAATGAACTGTATCTAGCGGCTAGACGAGCTACACAATATGAGTACAGTTCGAAGGTTCCAGATTTGACAAATGAGCCTTTTCCGGTACAGTAAAAATATTAATAATTATAAAATAATCTATAATAGAAATGATTCACAACAAAATTGATGTTACTCAGATGTTCGGCAGATCACTTTTTACTGTTAGGATACTTCTTAAGTAAATAAGAGGTTGTTAAATAATAAACGAAATTATATAGGTATTAATATATATTAAATTGAAATTTATAATTATTTTATCTCAGGTATGGGTTACTGACAATCAGATCATAACACTCAAACTATTATTATTTACACTATTTATACTAAAATTGAACACTGATTTTAAAATAAAGTCAAGTATGAATTGGCAAGTGAACATTTTCTCTATAGATACTGTTTCTTCCTTTGTTATACTAAATTCATTTGTCTTTTAACATTTTCCTATGTTCTGCCAAACACAACTTCCAAAATGGTGACACTTTCTTCAACTCAACTGAAGCTCCCTGGGAGATCCTCTCTCTTGTAATTCCAAACAACTAGTGACCCTGTCAAACAATTCCAAAGATGCTTGCCAAAACAAAACCCTTTGTCCCATTCCCATCCCCTCTTTGGGGAAACTACAGAGCAGCTATTTTCTTTTCTCTCAATTAGTTAGAACTAGATTAGCTTGCTTTTTAACTATTACATTAATTTATTAAATCATTTTTAACAAATTTCAATTAAGGTGTGCATTACAATATAGTAAGATTAAGTATTACGATCGTGAAAATTTTCGAGTCTAAGTTTTCAATGGAAATACATGTTTGAGGTCTCCTGAGTCCAAATAACCAAGTCCTGCAAAATGGTCAGTGCGTGCGTGTGTGTGTATGTATGTTATCAGTCTAGCTAAAAAACAAAAAGTCGTATGAAAGTGAAATTGCATATTTAAGGTTTTTATAAGCTTTCAATATTACAGCAACATTTTCATCAAAACCTGCAAACCAGAAATGGTGTATATAATCGATTTAACACATTTTTACGACTTTCTCAAAAACGGCACTGACGATTTTGATTATACTCAGTATATCAGTGTATTATTAAACAGTTTTTAATACAATGTAGGTTTTATTCTTATCAATTTTTTTCTATCAGATTTTAGATGGCTAATTTTCAATATTGGCTTCCTCTAAAGTACCTTCAATTGTTTTTATTTGCAATAATAATTAACCATTTCACATTAATCTTTGATATAAAAAAATAGTTAAATATTAAATAAAAAAGAATTTCATAATTAACTAAAGGATAAAAAATAGATCGTAACGGGTAATAGTTGTAATGGAGGAATCAAAGGAATACGAGCTTGCCCGAAAGATTAAAAAAGACTTCCATACGTAACATCAACTTCATATAATGCAGACTCTGACAACATTATGTTCACATACATATGCGTTTTTCATAAATGCTATCGTTGGTATTATTTAATATTTAATTGTATAGAATACAGCGTTATAAAAATTAAAATTTGTATACATAAGGATATTTAAACAAATAAAATTACCCACAATGAATTGTAAATAAATATAGCATAAATAATTTTTACTTTTCACTTTCCCTTTGTCTGAAAATACTTATTTATACTAAGAAGAGGGTGGTAAGTGAAAGTGGTGTGATGCGCGCACCAGATTTGTTTCTTTTTCTTTGATACAATAGATATTGGTCCCAGCAATCAGAAATAACACTTGAAAAGTGTTTAAAAAACTTGCTCTTCCGAAAATGTTGGTGGTATGTATATTACCAAGTCCATTTAAGCACAATTTCATACAAATATTTTTCATATTTTTTTGTTTTTATTTAAAAAAATGTGTATATATTATCAGCTAGAAACATAATAATTATAAATACTTTCTTATATTAACTCATTTAAAAATAAAAAAGTTAACGATCTAAAACTTCATTATATATTTTATTTATTTATTAGTTATTACATATTCCTGGCTCACAATAAATTTGCCATCTACCTCAGTATTCAACAAATACGATATCCAGGAGAAAAAATGATAGCATAAAAAAAAAGAAAGAATAGTAATTCCATTCTTAGAACGACACATTTTCTGATTTTATGGAAATACTCAATCATTACTATGATTCACAAACCCAATAAGCCTATAGACCGTCCTGACTCTTACTGCCCAATTAGTCTCCTACCTTCTCTCTCTAAAGTATTAAAAATAATTTACTGTCATTCCAAATTTTCAGTACGGGTTCAAACAGCATCATTCGACTATTCAGCAATGTTACCGCCTTGTAGATTACATATCTTTCTCGCTAGAATCAAAATTGTACTGTTCTGGCGTTTTTCTTGACATGAGTCAGGCTTTTGATAGAATATGGCACGATGGTTTGTTACAAAAATTAAAAACGATTATTCCTCCGACGTATTACTTAATTTTACTATCATATCTAAAAGATAGATTTTTCCATGTGAAAATGGGGACTGAGTTTTCTGCCATCAAACAAATAAAAGCTGGAGTACCTCAAGGAAGTGTCTTGGATCCAACAGTTTTCAACATTTACTGTTCAGACAACCCACAACATTCTGAAACACTATTGGCTACATTTACTGATGACTCGGCAATATTAACATCTAACAAGGATGCAGCTAAGGCTTCTCAGGTACTTCAAGAACACCTAGACTACATAGCTTGTTGGGCTAAAAGGTGGAGAATAAAAATGAACGAGTCTAAGAGCCAATTTGTTTCATTTACACTTAAACATGACTCTTGTCCTCCAGTGTTCTTTAATACTATTGCTCTACCATCTTCAAAAACTGTACGATATTTGGGTCTCCACTTGGACAAACGACTGATATGGACATACCACATAAAACAAAAAAGAAAAGAACTTAATCAGCGATACGGACTTCTTTCTAAGCTACCTGACAGACGTTCTAAATTATCTGAGACTAATAAATTAACTATTTACAAAGTCCTCATTAAACCACTTTGGGCAAATGGGATCAAACTATGGGGAACAGCAAAGAAATCATTATATATAATGACAATGAAAAATTCTAAAAATTAAATTATATAAATAGATTTTTCATGATAGAACTAAGAACTAATAAATACAAAATGTAAGCATACATCATATCAAGGGTCTTCAAACTTTTTGGCCAGTAGGCTATATTGCGACCTCCGGTAAATTCCACGGAACATGGCTTGTGATGAAAAAGAAAAAAGCTTGTTCTATAAATGCTACTTCAGTTATGAAATTAGCTTTCTAAGAGACACAACTTATGCAATGAATGTAGTGACCTCGGATTTGAGTGAATATTTTAAAATTTAATCAAAATAACTGTCGGGGACCGTAGTTTGGAGACCCCTGCATTATATAATAAATTGGAAATCAGAAAATTTTATTAGTTTTGTTAATATTAAATAAGGGGTAGTAAAAAAAAAATATATATATATATATATTTAGCAAAACTTCCATTTTTGAGCTATTCTATTATATATGCTGGAAGATGACATGTAAATGGCTAATTTTAAATAAAAATTTTAATAAATTTTGTGTTACTCACTTAATTAAAAATACAGGTGATGTATTTATGAAATTATCATAATTTGTGCAATTAGATCACATCATTTAGTAATTATATCAAAATATATTTTTGAAAAATGTATCTAATAATTAAATTTTGTTTTCAGGCACTTTTTACGGATAGTGATTCAGATAGAGGAGCACAAAAAGACGATGTATGATAATAATTTTTTTAAAAACTGTATTTATTTTTATTTAATCATTTAAAATAATAATTGTTTTTAAAATAACATAGGACAAACATAAATTAATTTACAAACGTAGAATAAATAGATGAAAATACTATAGATGAGAAATATACAAAGAAAATATATATATAAAACATATTCTTTATATTTTATTAAAAAAAATCTTTTAAATAAACTTTTTAAGTTTTTTCATTTTTTTTTTTTTACAACTTAAAAACATTCTGATATACATCCTTTAGAGCCATACATCTCCTACAAGTTACTTGATAAGGATATGTTATTTAATGAGGTAATATTTACAAAGAAATGCGTTACGATGGAATCATACAAAAAAACAGTGGTGATGACTAAGGTCTTCGAAGAGTGCTAGCCTCGACTGAACGTACACGTAAATCGACAGCTCTATGCACGCTATATGGGAAGAATTGCATAGCATTATCAAAGGCCCATCACTTCGCAACAGCCATCATGTGATTGTCGAAAATTCTTGCAAAATAGACTGAAGATCTAACGTTGCAAAATCAATACTTTGCCTCGTATCACTCACAACATTTCTCACCTAAATATAAGAAAAAAATAAGTTTAAAAGCTTACTGTTTAAGCAATATCACTCAGTGGGTCACTGATTGAAACTAATTTTTTTTCAGTGATTCTAAATAAAAAAACAAAAAACAACTAAGATCTGTGCTTTAGACTACATGGTAGAACTGAAAACACCAACAAGGCGAGATTAATAATATGAAATATAAATTACACATAATATCTCATTATAAAGCAGATAAAATGCTTATCATTTCTCTCGCTTACAGTATGCAGGTCTGATTTTAAGTTTCTGAGATATTTTAATCCATATCTTCAATAAAACTCATTTTAATTTGGTTTTTGACACTATTTTTTTCCCTTTTAGCCTCTGTAACACGGCATAGCATTGAAATAAAAATTAGAATGATAGCCCATTCTCTCACTTAAAGTAAATAGGTCCGATTTTTAATTTCTGTGATATTTTAATCCACATTTTCAATAAAATTTATCATTTGGTTTTCGACATTAATTTTTCCTTTTGGCCTCCCTAACACAGCATCACGTTAAGATACATTTTTGAATAATAGCCCATTATAGAGAAGATGAAATACTGAACAATTCCTTCGCTTACAGTATGCAGATCCGATTTTTTATTGGTGATATTTTAATCCATATGCAAAAACACTTCAATTTGTCGACTTCGGCTGACTTTACCCAAGCGTTACACATCGGAGATCTGACGGCTCAATCTAATACTCTCTCCACAAAAAAGTGCAAAACGCGCGCACCTAAAGAAGTTTTCACTTTAAAAAATATTGGACACATATTCTGGTGATCCTTTCAATGGGTCTGAGGAACAAACAAAAAAAAAAAAAAAAAAAATATATATATATACATAATAAAACTTTTAAAATGGTCAAGGTGTTCATTAAAACCTCATGAGTATATTTTTTTTCTTTTAAAGGCACAGAAACATGCAAATGTTTTTGTATATGCATAGTAAGAGCAGTAAAACATTAAAGAAGAAACGTCATTTTTAAAAGTTTGATATTTTTTTTCTAAATCCCTAAGGCCCAATAGAATGAATTCCAGAGTATTTGTCCAACACTGAATCACAAAAAAAATTTGGTTTAGATCAGTGATCCATTGATTCTACCTCTCGTAGTAAGTTATATTTTTAAGCATAATTAAACTAATTTTACATGATTTAATTTGTAACAAATAACACCATAAACAATTATATAAAGCATTTGCATAAATAATACAGACAAGGCCCGCTAAAAGTCTCTGCAAATCAGGACATCACACTTAAGGAGCTAAAGATTTCTGATTTCACCATAAATCTATTAAGATTTATATTCTCAATCATTTTATTTAGTTTTTAAAAGGATATAATGGTACTATTTCGCTGGCGCGGTCCACGACCGCGACTGCTCGCGGTTGACCACTGCTTTAGTGGAATAGAAAGGAACCTATTTCGCTGGCGCTGCTCGGCAGTCTAGGTATGACATCATATCTAAGTTGCTCGTATCTGACTCCTCTTGAAACAGTGGAGCTGTTGGCGGTTGTAGGTTATGTTATCATATCAGAGCATTGTTTTGATGATAACAGTCCCGTTGATACATTTTATTTCCTATGTTTCTTTCAAGTCTGGCAAAATTATGACAAATATTGTTTAAAACTGAAACAATGCAATAGTAAATTATTTTTTTGAGGTTGAAGTAACAAGATTATTTATTTATTTATTCCACCAGCAATATTTTACAGCGAAATACAAATATACCTAAATCCAAACGATATTAAATAAATTAAAGAATCCAACAAATTTTATCGTCAGGTAAATACTAAAATCCACCCATTGAAAAACGATTTGTATTTTTTAATTAAAGTGGTGATTTACTGATTACTATTGATAAAACTATAAAACATCGCTTGCTGAGATTTAATTACAAATATATGATATTTATTACTAACCAATTATGTATTAATTACTATTATTTTTCAAAATAATAATATGTAATATCAGAGGAACTTTGATGATGAGCATCACATCGAAATACTGATATTCCTTCTCTTTATGAACAACATTTTCCCTTCTTTTTCCAACTCAAATAAAAAAGCGGTAATCAGAGATGTTCATTATTATAGGAAGTTCATTTTTATTCTTATATTATGTCCATCTTTTTATCTTCGAAGATACAGCGAAATGTTCGAAGGTTATAACAACCCCAGTGAGCAGTTTCAGCGAAATAGCTACGCCAACAGCGGTTGGCAGGGGGGAATAGCGGTCGCTGTCGTCGACCGCGCCAGCCGAATAGTACCTAAAGCGTTTGTTTGCCTCCAACAGTTGTTACCAAATTGATATTATTAACAGTATTCTAAATCAGTTCTCGAACATGGGTACTACAAACATATATATGACAGAGATGTAGCAATAATATGAAATGAACAAATTTTCAATTTCGTGAATAGATATTCTAAAAATTCATCTATATATATGTTTATTAATGATAGAATTAAACTTGAAATCGATCAATTTTATAATTATACCTGGACAAAACTTCATTTGGTTCGTATATATTGTAGCAATAATGGATAAAGATTTTGTTATTTCATCGCATTAAGGATAACTGCGCTATGAAGTTTTTTTTAGCTAAGATGAGGGTGCCATAAAAACTTTTTAGCCAAACAGATTGCCGCAGTTAAAAGAGTTTGAGGACTTCTGCTTTAAATAATTACAGTATTAAATTAATATGAGAAAATTCATTCCAATAAGAGTTCTTTTTCGTGAAACTAAATAACAAAGAATTAATCAAGTAATACTACATTGTCTAGGTCTTTGATAGGAATTATTTTATTTTATTTCAAAACTCTAAGTAATGTTTATGACTTTGTACTCAATGTTAGAAATACCTGTTTAGTTTTAATTAAACGATTCATTAGTGAAGACAATAATTGCAGCAGAAGATTTTTTTTACATTACTTTTTAGAACCCAACGGTTGCCTATTAAGCCCAAACCCTTATTTTACAGATAAAATTTCAGAAAAAAAACACTGATAACAGGTATACTATTAGGTGAAAAGAGACAAAAAAAACAACTGATATAACAAAAAAATGCTGAAAATTATTTCCAAACAATTATACATCTAAAGTAAGATTACCTTCCAAGTTACAAAGAAAAATAAACAAAAGGTGATTACAATTATTGGACTAAACTTTTTTTTTTAATCATTAGTATTATGCTAAAAAAAATAGCATTAGTTCAGTAACACATTAAAAACTTGAAAACCAAAACCAAGGATATAACATTTGGAGTAGATCATATCTTTGCTCCTAATTGTCCAATTTTAACGATTTTTTTTTAGGAAATTTCATAAACTTTTAAAAAACTATATACAATATCAACAAAAAAGTATAAACTTTTCGAGTTATTCGGAATTTAATTTTAACATCCCTCGTAACTTTTTTTCCAGCTTCTTTTCATTGAAGTATGTTATATAGATAAATTTAAAGGGCATCGAGAAAATGACTTTAGCTAAGTTTCATTGAAATCTGTAAATTCGTTTATGAGCTACAGTCTATAACAACACAGGTTTTTCGGCCGCCATTTTGAAAGTAAAAGGCGGATAGTAATGTCAATGAAGGAGGATCATCCTTGGGCGACCTCTGATTTAATATCAAAATTTGAAAAAAATCGGTCCAGTAGTTTCGGAGAAAATGTGCGGACGGTGGACGGACAAAAAAATTTTTATTCGTTTTTCGAATTCTAGGCGTTCTGAAACGTGAAACATCAAATTTTGAGAGCATGTTAAGTTTTTGAATTTTTTGGTCGATCACAATGGTTGATTATTGAAAATAATAAACCAAAAAGCTTAAAAATTACACAAACATTTATTCTTAGTTTAATCATTAATGATGATTACGTTACCATTGCGGTGAAAAATGCTGAATGTCTGGGGTTTTCAGTATATCGTTCATACTGATCCAAGCTGTCTTGGAGTTTTAATGTAAGACTATCGTAACTTTTTCTGACAACATCAAGAATCTATAAAAAGAAAGATAAAATTGAGACATTTTAAAATATAAACTAAAAATACAATTTAATTTTAAATAAATTGTGTTACCTGCTCTTCTGTAGGAGTAGATAAACCTTGCCCGGCAAGCCATGCATCAATTTTGGGAGTGAAGTGATTTATTATGGCTCTATAAAAAAAATAATTGTATGAATAAAATAAAAAAAATTAAAAAAAAACGCATTTTTAGAAAATTATCACTGGTCCTTGATTAAAATCACTGGTCATATATTATAAATATATTGCGTATTGTAGAAATATAGATCAAGTTTTTTTTCTGAAATTTTTTTCTATAAAATAAGGATTTGGCATATATTCGGAATAGACTTGTATTGAGATTCAATCTAAGGAAAATCTCAACCAAACTCAGGGCTCTTAAATCACTTCTTAATATATTTTGATTTCCATTTTTAGTAAGGCAGACAATAAAGTTTCTATTAATATTAAGTGATAACTGGTTCATTTAGTCACCCAAGTTTTGGGAAGAAAAAATACAATAGAAAGATATGTTCGAAATGGAATCTGGAACGACACGTAATTAATTTTACATAGAACGCAACGGTATATACATTGTAAGGACTGGCAAACACACCTACAAGGATTTTGAGAAGATGCAGAGAATACACCAGGGATGAAGCCTAAGTCCTCTGCTTTTTGTATTATTCCTGGATCACGTGCTGAGGAGAGTTAAATCCAGAAGGCAGCGATTTCAATTACGGCCTACTATTTAAGAAATGTTCCACTCTATCCGGAAAGGTTTTCTCAACAAAAGAGAGGTGACGAAGAAGACAAATCAAGGTTCCTGCCCATTTTATCTTACTCCTCCAAATCATGGACACTTACCTCAAAACACGAGGGGCAGATCCAGACAATGGAGATGAGATATCTAAGAAAGCACGAAGGAAAAAAAAGGAGAGATAGGATCTGCAACACAACAATAAGATCAAACCTCAAAGATAAGCCACTAGAAACCAGTCTAGAAGAAAAGGAACTAAGATGGTTTGGGAACCTCCTAAGGACAAGCATGAAAAGAACGTATGAGACAATAGGGGACGAAAGAGGACCGAGAGGAAGACTACGGATCACCTGGGAGGAAGGAGTACGGGAAGCAAGAGCTGGATTGAAGCAGGGGGGGGGGAGAGCTGATATGGGAGACACTTGGTCTAAGTTTTATAGAGAGCACCCCCCCTGTACAGTGCTAGAGAGGGATTCAATTAAAATGATGAAATTTTTTTTTTTTTTAAATTGTGTTAAAATAAACTTATTTTAAATTAACAAGAAAAATGAAAGGTGTCTATCAATTCCAGCAATTAGAATTCCTGACTAGTAAAATTTTCACAAGTATACAATAATAAAATAAAATTTTAATTAAGGCAGTATAATGAAAATTAAATTTTAAAAACTTCAAAAACTCATTCCATTATAATTGGTACAGTACAAAAATCTTATTTTTTGACTTTGAAATAATATAAAGCAATATACAATATTTCTCTATCTATTAATTTTATTATAATTTTTTTTTTTCAACTTTCTTATAAGATTCTCCTCTTAGTATTGGTATAATTATTTGAGAACTTCTCTGTATTCTAATTAATATAAACTTCAAAGTTAGAATGGATTAATACTCATGTCATAAGCTTGAATTTCTAAGCCTGAAACATGAGGTACTTTGTGCTGGGTACGAAAATTCTCAAGGGAAGCGATACAACACTTTGTTTACTAATGCCCAGAATTATTTTTTACTCTTACACATGAAAAACATCTATGAAAATAAAAAACTTTTATTTTTGTCTGAATCTATTTTTAATTAAAACAGATATGTCATTATTTACCTTACGTTAACTAAACTATTGGTTAGTTTCAACGCTGTATCTTTAAATTCTCCCTCCATTGCAGAGTAACGATATGCTGGAAACACATAAAAATAGTGACATTATTCTTAGATCAACTTTATAAATGGAATGTATGGTGACGAACTGAATAAATACCCATCGAGTAGACGTTATCGAAAACCTGGTGCATTCGTATTAATTCATAATACAACTCATCGTAATTAGCTGGAGAATGAAGGAATGTATCGCCGTATGTGATAAATAAATTGAAGATGTTAATCACCTGCAAAATTCAAAGAGGTAAATATAAAATTTATGTTTTATTTTTTAATTTGAAAAATTGAAATTAAATAACAAACCAATATATTATGGAGTTCTGTCCTGTTATCTCCACAGAAATAAAAACTTCGTACAAAAGACAAAGAATGAACACACAGAAAATCTTAAGTATTTTCTGTAAATTTTGGATTTAAAAATCGACAAACATTCTGACAGTATAAGAAGGCTATATAATAAATTAATATTTTCTTTCGTTCAGAAATTGAAGAATATCGAAACATGCCATGTAAAATATTTTGATTTCTGTTCAGCATAAGTAAACCAAAATATTTACTAACTATACACATTATTTATAAATCAGTTTTTTCCTCTACTATGCAGACAAATTTACTTTTAGTAATTTTTGTTATTATACAGCTATTAATCATTATATAAGGCAATATATATGTGTGTATATTATATAAGCCAAAGTATACATATGTATGTTAGCTTATGTAAAGATTATGAGATGTGTAATAACAGAAATTACAAAAAGTAAGTTTTTCTGCTAGTATTGGAATTTAAACATGAAGTTATAATTGCTCTAGCTTTTGAATGGTTGAAGATAAGATATTAAAATAATATATATTCTTGAAGAAAATCTAATGCTAAACAACTTTCTACTTCAAGACTTTTCTTAAAATGATAAGATAAAGAGTTAACGAGTCAAATAGTGATAAAAATGCTACGCAAAAACAATTTCTTTTCGAAGTTAGTGAAATACAATGAAGGATATCTCAAAAACTATAGAAGATAGCGAAGAAATGAATATAAACAATTCTGTTGCAAATTTTGTAAGCTTCAACTTTACATAGAACATTATTATCGCTAGAATCCATAGTTTCACTGATATAAGTGAAAAACGAAAAAAGTGAACTTCTTAAATTATGAATTCGAATTTTCGACTTGAAATCCATGGGTATGAGGTAACTGACTGATCATTATTCTATATCTATAGGCTCTCTCTATATATAAGTTTTCTACCTATATATATATATATATCTTCACCAGGCCACATTTTATATTCCAGTGGCTATGTGCTGGAAGAAATGCATTTTTTTCATCAGGCCTGTGGACATGGTCAATTTATAAGGGAGAGACCTTAGTATGAAATAAGACAATTTTTTTTGCTAGAAGTTCCAGGACTATGAAAAGAGCTCTCAATTCTCCGATGCTACAAATTTGCTGCAGACATTGTGATAAAATCTGTACATATACTGGAATGGTCTACATGAATGAATCATAAAATCATAAGATATGTTGCTACATATAACCGTCTTTGAATATAAACTAAAATTTCAATGATAGGAACATAGTCCAGCTTTTACAACATGTGGCCGAACGTTGTCATATACTAAAATCAACTTGTTGTGTCTCTGCTTATTTAACGGCCATTTTCCTTTTGGGGCTTGCCTGAAACGCATCAATTGTAGTCAATAGCGATCTCCTGCGATAGGTTTGTTCGGTTTAAGCAGCTCATAATAAATTACACCGTGCTGATCCCACCAAATATAGAGAAACTTGAAACCATGAATATCTGTTTTTGTGGATAATATTTACGTATAGCTTACTCCACAATTTTCTAAGCATAGGAGTACCCATATTCCATTGCCTGTCGTGATAAAATACAAAAAACTTTTTCTTTTCTGCACATAAAGCAGCAGTTCATCCTTAAGAAAATGTTGAACATTTCTTCAGTTCAATTCATATATTACCCAAAGCTCTCGTTTCTTGATCATTCTTAATGATTTCTAATGTTTCGAAACCATAGTGCCTTTTACTAGAAATGATTTTTCAAGTTGAGCTAGGATCTGAAATGGGGTTTCAATAAATAATATCTCCGATTCTTCGTCTTTTTTAGTGTCTACATGTTTTTTCTGACAGAGCATTTTCACTTAAGTCTCAGTAACAAGAATTCTGTGTGCTTCAGCTGCAGATTTCTTTTGAATAAATGTTCATGAAAATACTCTTTACTTAAAACAATACTGAACATTTTTACCCTATGGAGAACTAACATACACTGAAGTTCAAGCTTACCGACAGTAGTTCTTGGAAATGAAATGAAAAACACATAGTACTGCTACTGCCATCTGTTAGGAAAAAGAGTTCCTAAATCTGTTGAGAACTCATTCAAGATCCCGCTAGTAAGGAAAGTAATAAAAAGTTTTATACTACAAAATTATTGACATCACATTTTACTTAAATGAATACCTACAATTTAAAACCATTTATTAAATGAAGAAGATACAAAAATAATGAAATTGGCTTGGGACGAACTTAGTAATCAGGAAAAAACAACTAAACGCAAATTGGTCCAACATGCAATCAATTCTACAATTAATCACCTTCTACGATTAATCGCATGCGGCTGACATGCTATTATTCAAATATGGCCTCGTCACAACCACTTACACTATTATATCAGTCTTTAATTGATCATCACACCTGATGGGCTAGATGAAAGACATTCATTTTCTTCGCCAGATGCGCTTCGTTGGCGATTATAAATTTCAATAGCGCTATGAGGGAGGCCCAAAGTTCCTTCCACTGGTAAATGAGTCTTACTTTACACCTTTTTTGGTAACACAGTACTCGATGCATGACTCCGACGCATAACAAATACAATTCCAATGGTAACTTCTTCATCATATGGCTCATTACAAATTCCACGAGTAAATCTGAAAATATTGCAAGCTTTATTATAAGCTACATAGCACAATAAAAAAACAAAACAACAAAATAAGTCCTGATGGACCAAAATACTCCAAAACCAGATACTAATTGAAATGTGTCCTCCATCTTATTCTGGAATGCTAAGCATTTTTGGTACTTCTTGACTAGCAGGCCGGCACGAAACCTCACTTCTTATCTATCTTATCTAACGTCACGTCACATAACCTCCCTCTTCTTATCCCGCCAAACCTTTGCGTTATTGCATTGTTTAGTTTTCAGTTATTCCCTTTAGTTTATGGCCTGTTTGTGTTTATTTTTAGTTCGTGGCCCCTAGTGTTTATGTTTCATTTTTTTTTTTTTCATCATATTATGAATCTTCTTAGAATATGGGATTTGCAGTCTCCAGAAGAACAGGAAAACCTGTTCCTCACTATTTTAAATAGCTTAAAACAATTTTGCCTTCCAAAATAAATAAGACAAATAAATTGTACATATCTTGTTTATAGTGTTGATATTTTTTCTTTTCTATGTAAATATGTTCTTTAAATGTTTTTTTATTATTTCATTTTCATCTTTTATATCTACATATGTTCTTCAAGTTTTTTTTTTTGTTTTTTTTATTATTTCATTAATATATGTGTCGTAAAATAAAAGTATTTTTTTGTTATTACATTTGTTTTTGTATCTGTTTACACTTTCAATAATACGAAGATAGGAAGTAGGAGAAGACTTATCACTGCATTATCGGAATTATCAGTGTTCAGGTTATAAACATTGGCAGATAACACTCAGTGCTGGCCTGCTAGTCAAGAAGTATCGCATTTTTTTCATGCCACAAAACTGCTATATGTAGGATACTAGATTAAGGAGGAGACTCATGTAGCTGGAGCCTAGACGAGAATGTCATATTGTAAATGGGGAAATGCTCTGTACACAACAAATAGCAGTCGAGGAAAATATTGTCTTAAATTTTTCTTTTGATGTAAGTGAAACTGCTGAGTGCATCTAGTTTTATCATATTATTTATAATATATTTAAAAAGAAAAATCAATAATATTATGGTATTAATTTTTAGGAAATTAAACAACTCAGTTCGCGGTTCAAATTTCTTTTTATCAAATCATTAACCATTTAACTGCTAATGACTGCTATAGCCAACACACCCCATTTCTGCCTCCAGTGCTAGTGTCAGCTATATAGTCTGTGGCACAGACTTTTTTTATCTCGGCAACAAATAAGTTTGAGTCTGTAATTGGTCATCAGTACTTATTTATAGCTTTAAAATACAGTTATATATAGTTCTAACAAAACTGAATCGGTTATTAAAGAAATGACAAATGCCACATTTTCATGATTTTGAGAAAAATTATATAATTGTGATGTTATAAGATAAAAATCTACAAAAAATATGAATTGTAAGCAATCAATGTTTACATTATTTATACCACTTTTAACAATAAAAGTACCATTAGATGTTCAGAAAAAATTATTGAAAATAAATAAAAATCACATTGTTTCTGCGGTAAACCGTATTTCGGTCCCTTTTCTTTTTTTAGTTATAAATACAAGGGTAAAGATTAAAAATTTGGAGTTGTATTACTTTTTAAATAAATAACTTTTATACTAAATATGGAAGGATTAAAAAAAAATTAATAAATTGGTTTGACAAAAAAAAAAAACCACACAGCTGACTAGATATTTTCACATTGGTTTCTTCTTGAAACATAAAACTTTAAATTTTGAGAGGGGTACACAACTTTGTATTACTTGTTGCTAGAAATGAATTTAATTTATTTTCTCAAAGACTGGATTATGGAATGTGTTTTTTTTTTGTGCTATAAGACAAAATTACTCTCAACTAAAAATTGATAAAAATGCTGCAAGCGCCATTTTTTCAATATACTATTCAACTATTAAACTGTAATTAATTTTTGGATAGTAAATAGTCAGGACACAATCATTTTTAAGGTTTTTATTAGTGCCGACATGTCAACCCAAGCGTGTGTGTCATCATTAGGGCTGAAAATTGTTTAATACAATCACAGATACAATATTCTAAGATAGATAATGGTTAATAATGAAAAATAGTGATGGATGATACATGAAATAGACAAATGAAATATTTAATAAGTTATACAAACTAAAAAAATAATATATATAATTTATTTATAAGAAATGTAATATTTACTCTTATTAACAGTGTTCGAGCACTGATTGTGTTAAAATACTGACACTAAGTAGGTAAATAAGAGGGTTGGGGGAGGATTTTCCAAATGCATCACTATTTTTCATTATTAACCATTACCTGTCATAGAATATTATATCTCTGATTGCATTAAACAATTTTCAGCCCTGATGAAGACCCACATGCTTGGGTTGAAGCGTCGGCACCAATAAAAGCCTTAAAAATGACTGCGTTCTGACTATTAACCACCAATGATATATAGAACAGTCGACTAACTTCCTTCTTTAATTAATGTTGATTGGACTTAGTTTTACCTAATAAAGTATTAGCAAGGGTCTGTGAAGGTTTTTCTGATATGTTCCTATGGCGCATTGGCAACCTATGTAGGTGAATTTTAAAGACTAGATTGACATCGTGCATCACAGAATTTGCATAATGATCTTCTGCTACGCACGTGAGTACAACAAAACACAGTTTGACTGTGTTCTGGCTTGCCTCACATTTTGTGTCTTGCATCACAATCGAACTAAAACAAACAATAAGGGAAAACTGTAAATTAAAATAAAATAAAATATAAAAAACAAAACATAAAAAATATATATATTAGTTACCAATATTGAAAAAATGTTCCTAACAAGTTAGTAGGCTCTGGAACTGGTTCCGTCTCACTAGGAGCGGTTACTTCGGCTTGGGTCTGCGCTAAAGTACTAACGAAATTCCTATTTAAGTGCACAGCTTCGTAAAGTGCGACCAAAACACCATTGTTAGCCCTAAAATAAATATAAAACCAAATTAATTTTTAAAAAATGTAACGTAAATAATTTCATAATGAAATATTTGAAGTATAGGAATTTTAACCTAATCTGTTGATTTCTTGTGCCTGTATCTTCAGAGAGGAACATGTTACCGATGATATTAGACAGTGATGAAAACCAATTTCCACTTTGAGGTTCTTTCTGGTCCTGGCTGAAAGGACGGCAGAATTCTGACAGCGACCACGATATAACCTAAATTCATGTAACAGCCTAAATTCGTAACAAAAGTAAAATAATAATACTAGATAATTATCGATACAAATTTCTTCAATATCTAAAGGGAAAGGAAAATGTCCAATTTAAGCTAAGATACCTCTTAAGCTTGGTACAGATATTAGTGGGAGAAACTAATTCAGCAAGTGAGTCTTTCTGTAAACCCCCGATGGCTACCTGAATGTTGATGCCATAATCTAACCACATGAAGGATGTGAAGACTAATCGTGTGGGGATTTCCATGAAATGATAATGAACTGATCCAGATGAAAATCAATTCCACACCATTATAGGACCCTCAAGCACCAACGAGCTTGGTAAGAGCATATGGTTTATATCTCTATCTCTTGGAAATATAATTAATTAAACATATTAATTAACATTAATCCTATCCTCAAAATTTGAGGTTTTATGTTTCAAAGTGAGTAGAATCCAAATATTGAATTAAAAAAAAATGTCCTCAATCTTTTTTATTTTTTTGGATTTAACTCCAAAGTCATTGGTCCAAATGTAACATTACCATCTGCCATTTTGTTTCAAAATGGCTCCTACTTAGAAGTCTCTTATGCCTCCTTCCATAGCTTTAATCTAGGACTGCTGTGACAATTTTTTTTTATACTTAGCACCAGTCACAAACCATTCAGGATGATCTTTAAATGTCAATATTATCATCTGCCATTTTGAAAAAAAAATGGAGACTGATTAGTTTTTCAGCCATTTATGAAACTGGAGGGAAAATATATCATTTTATGACAGCACAAAAAAAAAAAAAAAAACATTATTAATTAACTACAATTAATAACAATTTGTATTATTTAAAAAAAAAAATATTGATGTGACAAATATCTCTGCTGTTCACTAGTCTGATGATGGAAAATGATCCATTACTTAATTAATGGAATATATATATTTTTTATCTTAACTCATCCTTGAATTATATATTTCTTTTAAAAATCCAAATAGAAACTATTACAAAAAAAATTATAAACTAAATTAATTAATATATTCATTTATAACTTTCAGCTTAATTACCTGACCATATCCATTTAAAGCAAGCTCATCATCGAGAATAGACAACTTAACAATGTAAGGATTGGCCGATTCATGTTTCCGATAATTTATCAGAAGCGTTAGGAGAAGAACGACATCATGACCATGATGTATTCTACTAAGTGTATCACACAGTAGCTAAAATAAAAAACAAAATATATTTAAAAATTTACATACAAACATATATGTACATATTTAAAAAAAAAAAAAAAGAAACATTATATTTGTTTGTCTTTCCAAAATTTTTTGAATATCTATTATCATACTTGGTTGAGAAGTAGAATAAAGATCATTAATTTGATATTAGTTCAATAGAAATTTTTAGTTATTGCTTCTTAACTACCGAAGGTAGAGAATTATTGTGTTCGTGCAAGAGATTAAAAAAAATTTTGTGCTCTGTATCGAAAATTTCCACTCGCTTTTTACATTTTATACATCAAGGATCAAATTTAGTTCTGTGTCTGTCTGTCTGTAGTCAAATCGATGTGATTTTAAAAATTTTAGACCTTGTCATACAGATATTTTTTAGCCAATGCAAACGGTGAAGAAGCTAGACTAATCTTCCTTGGCAGACATTTTTTTATTTTATATCAAGACTAATAAACTCAAAAATGAATTGATGATAAATTGAATATATTCTATAGATAAGTTTAATTTTTTTTTTTTTTTTTAAGCTTATATCGTAGTAATATCTATTAAACAGAGAAAATGTATCAATTTATCTACTTAGTAATGATAACACTAAATTATTGATAAACTAAACAGCAGCAAACAATTTATAGCAGACATTTACCTGTATTAATGTTTCGAAAACACTGTTAAGCATTACGAATTCAAGTAAAGTATTTTGACTGACATTGTCATTCCCTGTGACCATAAGAAGTAACAATTTCAAACACAGAGATTTTAGGTTAGGCGCTGACTCTCCTAAAAACAGAAAAATGAATAAAAATGATTGAAAACATAGAAGTAAGAATCAGAAAATAAAGTCTGAAATTCTATGTATCCACTAGACTGAATGAACAAATCAAGGTTCAATAAACCTTTTTTTAAACAAGGTTTAAACAGATTTTCAATAAACTTTGGAGCTATAGAAATCAAGAAGGCTAAGTTAAACACAAGGAAGAACTCAAAAGATTCAACATTGCAAAAGAACAGGATAGCTACCAGGCAGTTTAAGTAAAATTTCCTGACAATTCTCTATTTAATGATAGTATTTCTGGACAATATTTCAGGGGACACAAATATTAGAAATGTATAAAGGAAAGAGATGGTCTGGGGTGGCGGTCATAAATAGTGGTAAAACTTTTTTATTAAAAGCCAACGTTTTGACCCTACTTTGCAGGTCTTCTTCAGTGCTAGAACAGACAAGATACAAAAAGATAGAGAATTGTGTAACTTACATAATATTTAGACAAAAAACTATAAACAATGTGAATAAGCTTATTAAAATTATAAACAGTAAGTACATTAAAATATAAACAGAGTAAGCTAAGTAACAACATATTAAACTGAAGTAAATAGATGCTAACGATTGTTGTAGTATAATATATAATAAGCTTAATCTGTTTATATTTTAATGTAATTACTGTTTATAATTTTAATAAGCTTATTCACATTGTTTATGATTTTTTGTCTAAATATTATGTAAGTTCCACAATTCTCTATATTTTTGTACTTGTCCTGAAGAAGATCTGCAAAGTCAGGTCAAAACGTTGGCTTTTAATAAAATAGTTTTACCACTATTTAGCCTATTTATGACTGCCACCCCAGACCATCTCTTCCCTTTATAATGCAACGGTCAACTATTAAATATTCAATTAGAAATGTATAATTTATAACTAAATTTATTTATTATACATCAAAGAAAATTGACTAAAAAATAATTTGAATAAAAAAAAAATTATCTTTTAAACAACAGATATAATGTTTTAGAGGAAGCATTATTTAAGCTTGATTAGGATTATTTATTTTAGAAAACTAAACTTTTAGTAATTTATTTTATTTTCATAAACTAAGAGGGGATAAAAGTTGATGCATGATATATATATAACTCTGATTTTCTTTATTCTAAAATAAAGTGAGCAACGGGGGATTCTAATATTAATGTAGTTTCTCATAAGTAATTAAGATTCTTTATTACTATAAACAGCATAATAATTATCCATATGACAGCAACTGTGACATTTCTGGTTAATAAATACTCTTTTAAGGAGCACCACGGGTCAAACGATTGAGTGATTACTAGCCAATGAATTGCACCCCCGCAGCAATATGAATTAACTAAAATAATAAAAGGCTTAGCGAACCCGAAGGTTCGATGCTGACACCACCAATCGCTTGTTACACACCTCCCTCCACCGTTCGCCATCCAAACCCAGTCCCTTCAGATCGGCTTTAGTGCAATCTTCCCACCTTCGCTTCGGTCTACCCCTCGGACGCTTACCATTCGGCTCAGCAAATATTAACCTTTTAGGAATTCTCTCGTTACTAAGCCCAGCAACTTTACAAGCCCATTTGATTGGCCGCGATAAAATTACCTCAATTATATTACCCGAATACAGCTCACGCAATTCGGCGTTGTGTAACCGTCTGAACTCTCCGGTTAACTCATCCTTCTTCAGTCTGAATATTCTACGCAATACTTTATTTTCAAAAACGTTAAGGAATTAACTAAAAACTAAATTTTATTTTGCATTGTGTTTTTAGTGGAATTAACTAAAAACATAATGCAAAGTAAAATTTAAATAATATATAGGTATCCATCGTTTGCCAATATTAACTGCCCCTTCCCACTCTTAGTGTTAAATTCATATTTCTGTTTAATTCTGTAATAAAAATATGGAAGAGTAAGAAGTTTTTCCTTGGAAGAAAAATTCCATATATGCTGCTGACTGGAGAGGAAAGATTCCAATAGTAGCCTGGCTCAAAAAATAAACCTAAGTCTTTCAACAAGTTGAAAAAATTCCAAGTCTATTTGAGACAGTATACTAAATGTGGTGAATCTTTTAAATCCAAAAAATGACAATCTAGCAGGATTAAGGCAGATTTTATTCAAAAAGAATAATGAATATTTCAAAACAATTCCGATCTATTCGATGAACCTCAAACTAATATTTTGTGATGATAGGTACAAAGATTCTGCTCCTGACACAATACTGTTTTCAAAAAGATTAGCTGTGAAGTTGTCAATGTTCTCTTTCATTTAACAAGCGAATGGAATTAAGTTTAGCCAAAATTTCATGAGAATTATCATGACGCTTACATATTCAACTAAGTAAAACTCAATTTTTTAAGAAGTTGATGTTCGAGCGGACTCTTTAGAAATAAATCACAAACATTATATAACAGTATGTAGCAGAGTTACTGAGAGTCTACACATGTAACAAAAATTACACAAATAAATAAACAGTATAAAGAATCAAGTCACTGTTAAATGCACTTGACATGAATGTAAGAATTTATCATTAGTTTGATTAAATGAATTTAAAATTATATTTTTTTAGGTAATATTAGATTGTTTTATAAGTCAATTATTTCATGACTAAACCATTTTCAATAAATCAGCTCTTTATTAATCTCAAAGGAAGTTGTAAACCTACAATATGTCTTATCAACAAAACATAAAAGCTTTCTAAAAGATAATAACATCCTTTCTTTTTAGCCAAACTTTCTTAAAAAACTGATAACTTATATTTTAAAACTTTATATAAAATTAATATTAGACTGTTTTGTATGTTATACACTATATGGTAAAAAAATTCTGAACTACTATAAAATTAATATTTCATAAATATATAAAATCATTATTAGATTTTTAAAAATAGTATGATTTATTATGATTTCAAATAAAAAGTTCCTTCAAAACTTTATTATTCAGTAAGATACAATTCTATCTGATATATATTAGCCAATTATTTCAAGTAAATAAAATTTCAAAAATTAATATGCAAACAAATTTAATCTTCATATTATGAAATAAAGAGAAATTATGTTTATTGTAAAGAGTCTAATTTATTAAGTGCTTCAAACAGATAAATCAGAATTCCATAAATAGAATGCCTGGAATTCTTAACAGGAGTCAATAAGATGCAATGACTGCAATACAATAGTACAAAGAAATTTCAATAGACTAAAATAAAACCCCTGATTTATAAATCATTATAGTATTAGATTTAAAATAATGAGAAAATAGCTTTAAAAATTAACATAAATTCCTAATTATTAAAAATATCATTTATATATTTTCTATATCTTACCACTCAATAAGTTATTACAGTGATTTAACAACAATTTCATCCGCTGCTCAGCAGTGTCAAAACCAAGGAGAATATCTATAACATCAAAACCACACTGTCCAGAGGTCTTATAAACAGCACTAGTAATTGCACACAATGTCTGAAAAATAGATAATTATAAGTTAATAACTTCAATGCTATTGTATTTCTATGAGGAAAATGCACATTCAAATTATGCTTATTGTACAAAGCCAACTAATCTAGAATACAGAATGTTTTGCAGAAATGGGTTAAGTACAACATAATTTAAATGTTTAGCAAAAATAATTTAAATAATTTTTAGCACAAATGGTGTAATAGCAAATTTTTGTTTAGCAGATGTGTGCATACCATCGATTAGTTTTAATCCTAATACATCTTTTTAAGATAAATAATTATAACATTTACTTGGAGTGCATATACGATTCGCAGCTGATGATCATTTCCTAACGTTTCAATACACTGAACAAACAAACAGTTGATATTCTCCTTCGCAGCCAATAATTGTTCTTCGTTAAGCCTTAAGATTTCATTTTCTAAATGTGATACCTAAAAAAACATTCAAATAATGTGGGATATAAAAAAAATCTTTATGTTATCAAGTATCATTTAACAAGCAGACCTTTGGCTTTAATAAAAACAGTTCATCCCAAAAATTAGGATTCAGTCTAGACAAATCATCACCCTGAAACAATGTATCAGAGCAAATTTAAAAAGTATAGATATTTAAGAACGTTTAATTGAAATAGAAATTTTACAAACTTTGAAGAATGATTCATAAATCTGTACTATCTTTTCCTTTAACTGCCTCTTAGAACCTGAGCCACTTCTTTTCCTTGAATTCATAATGACAAGTAGAGATTCTTAATTAACATTCAATTACATATTTTAAAGACAGTATTTATTTCGGAAGACTCATATGAAATAGTGACTGTTAATCAGCTCGGTTAAAACAGATTCCTGACAACCATGAGCAACACCATATCGGCTGAAAACAAACTGTTAACCTATCTTCCAATTGACAACAAATTTAAATGATTATCCACTAATCGATTAATCTTTTGTCCCATAAACATATAAATAATTGTAATAGAGAATTCATATAACATCTCCTTATTACAATATTTCCTTATCGAAGTCATATTATTTTTATTATAAAGTCAATACGACATAAATATTATACACGAAAGAGTTTTGTAAAGTTGTAAACCCATTTTTATCTCAATCGATTTATATCAGCCGGCATTAATCTTTTCGATTTTATTGTCATGGTAGGTTATTGTAGGTGTTGGGTTGGAGGTTGCCCAAAAAATTACAATTCAAAATGTTTTTCATGAAAACTTGGAATAATTAATATGAGAAACTGTTTTATTTTAATATAAGTTAGGAATTTAACAACGATCATGGTTCTGTCAATTTTTGAAATTTATAGTAACATTAGGTAATGAATAACATTATTGTAAAGTAAATTCTCCATTCCCTGTTTTTATGATTTATATAATGTTAATAATATTTTAGATCTCGAATCCTTTGGCATTGGGAAAATATTGAGCTGTGCTTCAAATCTCTTTTTTTTAATACCCATTTAGACCAAAATTATTTCTCTGATGTACTTATGGAACCAATTTTTAGTGTTGTCGATAATTTTACAAAATTTCTTGGACCGGTAAGTGGATTAAAGTTAAATCTTACAGTCAACACTCATTAGCTTTCACACATTTTTTTATGCAATGATTATACAAGTTTTTACCACTACTATTGCTGTAATGTTTTGACGTTTAGAAAGATATTATTACTTCCGTAAAAATAATTACACCACAGTTCAAATTTTATTTAAAAGCAACGTTTCTTTATTAAGATTTTACCTCTGATAATTTGTGAGGAAATTTATGTACCCTTGGGTGGGTAAGTGGTTTGCTCAACTTGAAAAAATGTGTTTAATCGACCTCTAGACTCTAAACATTGTTTTTTCATTACCTATTATAAACAATTATGTTTTTAAAAAATGTGGGAAAATATTGTAGTATCCAATTGCAAGCTCATTCCTTGGATGGCTGCTTTTCAGAATTTTAAATCACTTTAGTAAATATGGAATTTTTAATTATTATATATTATCTAGAGCTGGATCAATTATTTCCTCAAAAATAGCATTGTGTGATAAAGTGGAAGTAAAAACATGAGCAACAGATTTACTTACAGGATTCAGACAATTTAAATCAAAAAGAGTAAATAAAATACTAATCTAAAATTGATTGCTGATGAATTTTATTTTATGTTTATTCTGATTTTTTTAAGAAAATTAATATTTTAACCTAATTAAATTTAATCTGTGATCTTTTGTTTAATATCTGTTATTAGTTTCTGTTAAATGGAGGATATGATTGAAAATAAAAAGGCCCAGGATGTATTTTTATTGGAGCTTTGAAAAATAAAATATTAGCATCTTGTATAGAACTTTAAAATTAAGTTTTTGATTCTATGTTGTATCACTACGACTGTTGTCACAGCACCTTTGTGTAACAACAAATCTGGTTAGGTTATTCACTCAGAGTAGTCTATGTGTCGAGACATATTTGTTAGCACCATTATCAATTATAAAACTTTTTGTGGCTGCAGATTTTTTTGAGTCAAAATAAATTATCTGTTCACATTAGCTCTACGTTTCTCAAGAACCTAGGTCTACTTTATAATATTTTTACAATTTTTGTCCACTCTGCTTTGTCTAGAGCTTGTTTTCTCCTTATTATCTTACGCAGGCAGCTACAATAGCAGGCTGAGTCTCAAATGCACTATACATATATCATTTTAGATAATCTTATCAAGTTTAGCTAATAAAAATTATGATTATACTATATTACGTTTTTTTATTTACCCATTATTTTACTACTAAACAAAATGTCTTTTTATAGTTTTTTGTACTGTGTGTAATTCTGATAATGACAACAGTAATTGCAATAGCATATTTTATTGGCCTTCCTTATTGGTGGAATAAAAATCCGAATGCAGCTGTTATTCTGGTCATAGTTGGAAATTGGCTCAAATGGAACACATTATTTCATTATTACAAGGGTGTTGTAACACCACCGGGATACCCTCCCAAGGTAGGTTTGCCAAAGGGAATTTACGCATTTATCATTGTTTAATGTTTTACAAGGTGTGTAAATATGAAATTGGTGATGGCTCTAGTTGTTAATTTAATTAACATTAAACCACATTATTGGTACCATTTTGTTTCTTTGACCGCTGGCAAAGATTTGTTACTCACAACATTACAAGTTTCATTTAACAGCATCATTTTAATATACTTTAACATGTCAAATTTTGTGCCTAGAAACTACGATTTGCAGAAATAATTATTTTTATGTTTCCGTTTAAAAAAAACTATTGCAAAATCATATTGAACGCTTGTTATAGCTTACAGTGAACACGATCATAGTAAATCACATTGCTTTTAATGTTTTAAAAAAATCAAAAGTGGTGATTTTGTTATGAGAAATGAAGAACGTGGGTGTGATCTATTATGAGCTTCTAAAACCTGATGAAACTGCTAATAATGAATGCTATCAACAAAAAAATTATCAATTTGAATTGAATATAAGATGAAAAGCAATTAGAATATCAAAAAATACAATGAAAAATGATTTTGCTTCATATAATAAACCATTACACTCAGCACAGCCAGTGAAGGAAACGATTGAAGCATTTAGTACTCACCAGACTTGGCTCTGTCAGAACTATTTCTTTGGCACTTATTTTTGTTCAGCAGCACTTCAATTCTTAAAAAAAATGGCTTGGTAGCTGGTTCAATACTAAAAAAAGAGCCACCGTTTTTTTCTGATATGTCTTTCATAAATTTCATAAGAAATGGAAAAAATGAATTTTTATGGGCAATATTTTTTAACATTTAATGCAATAAACGTGTATTTCTATTCTGGTTTCATATTTACACACTTGGTATATCAAAACAATTGAAATATTACTTATGTTTGTAGAGAATTATTTTTTCTTAGGGCACTGTTATTCAGGAAGCAGTAAGCATATGTAAAAAATGTATATCACCGAAACCACCTAGAACTCATCACTGTTCTGTTTGTAATAGATGTATTCTGAAAATGGACCACCATTGTCGTATCCTTTTATTTTGTAGCAATATATATATATATATATATTGATACAATATTTTTCTTGCGTTATGCAATTTCATTTCTTCATCATTTAATTGTGCATTACTCTGTTTATATCATTACTTTATTGCTGTTACTTAGTTACCTTTCACTTAATTATTTTTTGTTATAGCTTACTTTTATTTTCATGCCTTACCATTACATATAACACTCATATATTTTTACTTTTATTTACTTCTTATCATTTATATATTAAAAGACAACATATTTGTTCTCATATCCTTTTACTACAGTTTCTAGTAATTTTGGTTGTTATCTTGTCTCTTTCAGCCCTGTAAAGGCCTACAATTAGGACAAAACGTCGGCTCAAAATAAAATAAAAATCTTTTATTTTTATTTGTGTTTTCTTTGAACGCAACTCCTACTAACTACCCAACCATATTGTATACATTCAAAAAAATTGTCGCCTTTATGCAATTCCTTAGCTTTATTTTAGCTTGGCTTAACAATTGTGTTGGCCATTATAATCACCGATACTTTTTTATGTATATGGTTTTCATTTCAATGAGTACTTTGTTCATTATGGTATTTGGATATGAAATAGCATATACAGAAGTTTGGCTTAAAGAGATCATTAGTGAGGAAGTTTATGGTCATCCTATTAGATTTGATAACTCAAACATCATACCAGTTGTAAGTAGATATATAGTGTGTATATATATATATATATATATATATATATATATATATATATATATATATACATGTATGTTTCAATGAATGAAAAATAATTTGGGGAAAAAAAGTTTTCTTAGAATAACAGCATTTTTCAAACTGTATAGATATATTTTCAATAAAATGGCAATTTTCAGTTATTTATTAATAATAATAGTTTTTATTAAAATATATAAGGAGCGGAGTAGCTCACTGGGTAAGGCACTGACTTCTAAAGATCAAGGTCCAGGGTTCGAATCCGGCTGATTGCAGGTAATTATTTATTCGGTTGCGGATTGCCCGTGATCAGAAGACCTTCCTGGGCCACACCCAGCCTTTGTAAACTGAGTATTCTTAATTAAATAATTCATGAAGGGGGAAAACTTGGCACTTGAGTGTGATTTCCTTGCGAAGGACTGAACCCAAAACTCTTCATGGGTTGTAGTGGTACAGGGTTCTTTTTTTTTTACAATAAATAGATATTGCTTACATTGATACATTGGTTTGCTTATTAAGAATCTGTAAGAATATATTATGCAATAAACTATTTTATAGATCCTTTTTAAATTTCTCAATCAATTTCTTGGATGAACTCACTTTTTTTTGAGAAATTTGGGTTTCTTTCAGTCACAGGATCAAATTGATCTCCATGTAACAAATTTTATACTAAACTCAGCGCTTTTTGTCTTCAGAAAACGTATAGTTCTTTAGACATGCTATGCTTCTTGCTATTTTTCTATTGTGTTATTGTCAATAAGGCATGAACAGCAGCTTAACCATGTAAAAGGGTCTATAAATTCTGTGGTGATCTCACCTAGTGGTTGAAAACCAAACTACTTGTGAATGATTTCTCTAACAAAGCATTATTCAAGAAGCTTGACTGTAAAGCAGTTCTTTCTCTCAGTAGTATAAGCACATATGGGCTTTATCCACTATCTGATCTAGATAAGGCAACATATAGTTGTCTGTAGGAAATCTTCTCTTTAGTCGACTCCATTATGCTTTATTTTTAGTGTCTGCAAATGACATTCACCAGTTTAATCTCTTACTATTGATTGTCGATTATGGTCACTGCTGTTTTCCTATTGGTTGTAGTATTATGTCATAAACCTTAACTCCAACCTCAATAAACGGTCTATCTAACACAAAAAAAATTGTTTAAAGTTGGACTGATAGTTCTGAAATTAACAAGTTTGGAAATATTCTTTAGCTTCATATATTAGTTTAGATTAGTTATAAATATATTTTCTAATTTGTTGTTTTATTATTGTTATTTTTTTTTTAGCCTGAGTGGGATAACACAACTTGTACAGAACTTCCTGTTGAACCTCCTCCAGCTTTCTTATGGAGAAAAAGGGCTATATTTTTTATGGCCTTTATTTGCAGTGGTATGTTTTGGAAAGTGTCATTATATTTGTTTAAAAAAAAATCTGTCCATTAATCTAATAATGTGAAAATTAATAGTTTTAAAATTGAAACAACATTAAATTCTAAACAAATGAAAAAAATTTGACTTCTTACAATCAAACACAGAAGTCCTCATACTAATTTTCATTTAAGTTAAGGTAGTTTAATAGAACTCCAGAAAGATCTCGATAATCAAAACCCCTAGTTAACCGAAAACCTTGGTAATCCAAACAAGAAAGAAAAATAGTTAAAGTTGACTGACGAGAGACAGAATGGATATGGCTCTGTTTCTCAGTACATATTACTGGAATTACTTCGTGTGGTAGGGTGGAATAGTGTATTGTGGTGTCTCTAAATGGAGAACGTTATAAGTAGGCTGTCATCCAGAAGTTGAGGACCCTCTTTATATGGAGGTTTTGTTACAGAATGGGGTGGATGGGGTTGTGTGCAGCACTGCGGTTGCCCGGCAACCTGATACATAAGATAACTGGATAAAAATAGTCACAAGTTCGCGTCTCGGTGCTGGGAGTGTCTTTTTAATCCCTGCACTCACCCCCTGGCCTGGGAAAATCGCATATAGCCTTTAAGACGAGGAAGGGGAGGACAAAAAAAAAAAAAGTTTTTTCTACAGAGATCACGAGGGCGTCCAATTTCCAGGGATAGAATAGCTGATAAGTCAAAGCTTTTCTTTTATAATTTTTTAAATGAAGGATGAAAACAGATTTTTATGCCAGTAAAGGTTGGCTTGATAATTTCTAAAGCATTTATATTATTTTTATTTCACTAGAAAATTTCTTTACATCCATTTTATTTTTGAAGTGAAAACTTCTTCTTTAGATGAGTTTTGCACTTTTTTTGTGAAGAGTGAATCAGATTGAGCCATCAAATCTTCGATTTGTAACGCTCGGGTAAAGTTGGCTGGAATTGACTAATTGAAATGATTTTGCATATGGATTAAAATATCTTAGAAACTAAAAATCGGATCTGCACACTGTAAGTGAGGATATTGTTTAGCATTACATCCTCTCTGTAATGGGCTATTATTCAAAACTATCTCAACACGACGCCGTACTAGAGAGGTTACAAATAAAAAAATAGTTTTGAAAAATAAATGATAACGAGTTTCATTGAAGATATGGATTAAAATATCTCAGAAACTAAAAATTGGGCATGCACACCTTAGATTGTTTTCAATATATAGAAGTCATGGAAACTTTACAAAGCCATTAAATACTTGGTTGGTTGGTCTCGAACGAATGAATACAACGTCGACTACCGAAGCCTGGTACTTTTGTTAGGAATTTGCCAGACCAGGTGTTTCCTTTAGCCACAAAATTAGACTCGACGTTCATAATATTATCATTTTTATAAATAATGTTTTTGTTTGCAATATTTAATTGACAATATGTACATTTTTGTTGCTTTGTGTATTTTGCTTCCTCGCTACCAAAGGTTAAGAAGCTTTGTATTTTTCATCATTTTAAATTTAACCTTCGATATTCCGGATAGACCAGACAATCTTCATGTTTGGATATTGAGACTGTCTTGTATTGTGTATTATGAATGAGTTAGATTAGACTAAAAGTTTTGGTATTATTTAGGTGCTAGCTCAAACATTAAAATATTTTTATAATGATGAAGAAGTAGCTGAGACTGTCTGGATATAAATATTCTGTCAAAATCCTCAGTATGTGATATTTAGTTTTGAAAAAGGTCTAAAAGTTACAAGGAGAGGATGCTGCAGTCTGTGAGTCGCCGATTTCAACCAAAATTTATTTTGGTGATACTACATCGAAAAATATTGGATACATATTCCGGTATTCTTTTCAATGGGTCCTAGCAGTCAATATATATATATATATATATATATATATATATATATATTTTTTTTTTTTAATATGATTTCAAATAAAATTTATGTTTGCCGTCAACAATCACAAAACTAGTGATAACTTTACTATGGCTTCACCAATCAAAACTAAAATTCATATGAATTTAAAGATATATGTGCTACATGAAATGAAATAGACTTCTGCAAATAAATTAAAAATGGGTTAGAAGTTATTCTTGATTTTTAGATTGAAAAAAAAAAATGAAATCTAAAAGTTATCCGTGTCAGTTGGAAGAGCATTGATTCAGCTTTATATTAAAGTTGAATTTGAAGGAAATCCTGAGGCGTTATGAATGCTTTAGTTGACAGCTGGAGAAAAGTTCATCTAAGAAAAGTACTAATTGGTGTATTGTTTTATTTATATAACAATTCGTATTTAAGAGTTTTAAAGGATCCTAAAAAGGAATCTAATTTTCTTTTTTATAACAACAATTTTCTTGGCCTACTTTATTGAAAGCACATTATGATTTTTGTAATTTGTGATACATTATAACTCATTTAATATGATAGTTAATATTTTTTTTCTTATTCTGCACAAAAAAAAAAAAAAAAAAACGGTTGATATATAATAACCTAAAAATCCGGGCAAAGCAAAGATAAAAATAAATAACATAAATTTTGAATTGAAATTATATAAAATATTTTTTTTCTTGGCTCTCCGGGTCCATTAGAAAGAGCACCAGGATATATGTCCAATATTTTTTGATGAAAAAATTTGGCTGAAATCGGTGACCCACAGAGTATATCCTCTCCCCTTGTTAGACCGAAACGTAAGCTCTTATAAAATTTTTTTTTTAAAATTTTATTTGTGTTTTTCACTGTGATTGCAACCCTCTAATTAAATCCCCATAATATTTGGCTGGTAAGTTTTTTATATTTAGATTAGTCAGATCTATGTTTTTATTTATAGGTGTCTTATGTCTGCTTGTATTTATAGGTGCATTTATTGCATTAACTTGGTTATCTATATGGCATGCGAAGCACATTCTTAGAGGAGAAACAAGTATTGAAGGTCATATCAACAAGGCTGAGTCAAAACGCTTGGCTGCTCTAAACCAGGTAGTTAATTATAGGGATGGGTGATAGCTGATAGTACTATCGATATATCAATAGTTTAAAACTATAGATAGTCGTAGGGACTATCGATAGTTGTATCCTCTCCTGAGACTCAAATTTTATATACTTAAAGGAACAATTTTAACAATCTGTCTACATTATTTTATCCATTTATTGATGTACGATATATAGTGATAATATAGCAATGTAGCAAAGTCGTTGGTCATTCGACCATCAGACATCTTGTTGCCCAGTATAAGTTTGATTTTTTTATATATTCATTTACAAATGTTTTATTTTTTATGTCCGTCAAAGCTGTATATGTATCTGGGTGGTCTGCATCCATTTTTGCTTGATCACATAATTTACACCACACAATGTAAAAGTGAAATTTTTGATTATACAAAACTGTTCCACAATGTTACATTGAGTAAGAAAATAAATGAATAGAAGGGTGAAGTATGTTTAAAACTATACTTATAAATATATAAAGCTCAAACAAAATTGAATAAGAAGAAGCCTTCAAGATAATCAAGAATACAATCTCAAATTATATTCTTAGAAATATAGTATAGAAATAAACGTTTCTAAAAACACCTGCAGTTGTGTCGATGGAAAAAACATTACCATTACTTTTACTTCTCCTTTCTATTCATTTAAAAAAAAACCTAAGATCTAAAATGATGCCGTTATAGTTTTATTATACTTTAAGCTAATACGATCTAATCAAATTTAGAAAATTATAATCTTGGAAATTAAAAGATATACACACTGGTCGTTTCCTTTTTTTAATCAAATAGTTAAAACAATATATGTCATCATTTATTGTTTGAATTTTACATTCATTGAAATGAACGTAATTTATTTTTTTAAAATAAATGTGTTTTTTATTAGTAATTTAACATATATCATTAAGAATGTAACCAACATAAATGTTAATTATTGTTATGAAGCTTCTGTAGCATTTTAAAGTAAATAACTAAAGAATAAAGCAAAAATAAATCCTGCTTAAGTCTATGACAAAAAGTCATTGAACTATCGATAGTTTTTCATAGATAGTATCGAACTATCGACTATTGCTCCTCCCTAATTAATCACATATGATAAATATACTGATATTGGTATTAATCCTGGATCACGGGCCTAAGAAGAATACTCATAACACTATAAGATTTCTATGTGAATAACATAAGTATATGATATTGTAAGTAAAATGAACCTGATGTTCCATTTAGAAGTCGCTGATTTAAAAAATATAATTGATGACTGAACCCAGAAATATTCTATGAAAAATGTGGAAATAATTTTTATTTTTTAAAATTTTATATATGCCTGCAAAATTTTAAGAAAAAAATGCTAACACGAGCCATCTTGGTACAACTTTGGCAGGCAAAAAACCGTTATTTTTAAAAGTTTTTTTGGCTCTAACTCGTTAACGGTGGATCTAAGTGAAAAACTGTTTCTTCATGAAATTAACGCTTATTACATTCTGTGTCGAAAGAATACCAAAAATAATTAATTTAGTTAAGAGGTATAGTTGAAAAATAATTAATTTAGTTAAGAGGTATAGTTGAAAATCATGGTTAACATATAACAGTGATTGTTAACTTTCTCAAAAATTGTAATATATTAATATAAACGACTCTGCTGCTAATAAACTAATTCTCTTAGAGAAAAAACTCATATAATAAAGTGTTGTAGAGCATCAACATTTTTTTTAATCACCATTTTAAAATTATTTCAAATACATATATTAAAATTAACAACTAATTAATCCAGTCAAATTATCACAAAAAAGGAGAAAAATGTAGCTTAAAAAATAAACTTTTTACAGTCATTTAAAGTTGACTTGACATGTATAAAAATATTGAAGCTCTCTTTTTTTGCAATTTTTAAAAAATTATTTTAATGCAAATTATTTTTTATAGTATTATATTGTTTTAACAAACCCTCTTCAAGTAATAAAAATTTACTATAGCGTTTATATGTTGAGTATATTGTATAGGACCTAACCCTGAAAACATTTACTTAAAAAAACTATATGGTATTTTTTAAATAATAAAATCTTTTTTTCTTATTTCAGAAATACATAAATCCTTATAATTATGGACCTGATGAGAATTTTAAAATATTTTTTGGTATAGAGGATGGAAGGTAAGTTTTTATAAATGATTTAAAATGCATTTATTTGAAAGTTATATTAATTTTTATTATTATATTATTTTTATTTTTTAGTTATCGTTCATGGTTACACATTTTCTTTCCATCGTCCCATCGTCCATTTGGTGATGGTCTTACATGGCAAAATGCAAATCATATAAATAAAACGATCGAAGAAAAGAAGTATCCCTAAAGGATCTTTCTTAATAACATTAGTACAAAATATTTATAATGCAGTTTGTTTGAAGAACAAGGGAAATACATTTTAAAGATGCTCTTCACTAAAACATCGAAGATTTCGTATTTCTTGTAAATATTGTAATTTATTACATTTCAATTATTGTGCCTCAAAGACTGCTTCAAGCTCTTAATTATTGTACTCATGACTTTGTATATTTTATGATATTATTTTTTAAGGATTTTTATACAATACCAAACTAATAATCTTAGTAATCCGAACGAATTGCTGCAAGGGAATGTTCGGAGCATCAAAAACTTGTAATTTCAGAGGACATTTGAGGATAGTTACATTAAAAAATTAAAACTTAATAATTACTGGTTACATAATACATAATCATGGAACAATGACATAACTGTAAATCATGTAATTTTATAGGAGAGGCAAAAAAATTAAAATTGTTAATATATAAACAGCATCATTTTTAAAATTGATTTTACAAGTTTATAATTTTTTTTTTTATTAGCTCCTACTTTTGCATTTCTGGCATACAGGTGAGGCGGGGGTTTGTCCTAGAGATAGAACCAAACCTATTTTAATCTGAGTGGGGAGGTCGAGATTCATTCGTAGATCTGCCAGAAAATAAATTTCAACCCTCCTAGGCTGGATTTAAACTTTTGCTTATATTATACTGTGATGATTTGATTAAACACATCTTTTTAACAATTTAATGTGATAAAATATTTTTACAAAACTTTACAGTTGGGTCGTTGTTCCAGTAAATGAATGATATGTGTATTCTCACTACATTGAAAACATTGATTTATAAGTATGATTTTTTTTTTGTTTTCTTTTTTTTTTCTTAGACATTTTAGGTGGATATGTTGCTCTGGCATTTGTTTCCTTTTGAAAATAGTAAGTGAAAAAAAACATTGCATCTTTATTGAATTGAATAATCAATGCTTTATTGTCATTCTATTTTTAAATTGGGACCAGGATTCATAATAAAATGTCAATTTGAGTTCAACGCTTCTACGCTTATCATGGGCGTCTTGCAAAATGTGGTATTCGGAAGCAATAATCGTTTTGTTTTTAAATTTTTTTGTAAGGTAAATATTATAATTTGCTCTTAATTTTTCAAATTCTTTGTTATTAAATGACTCCATGAATAATTTTTCTGCTACTTAACAGTATTGTTTTTAAATATAATAAAGAATATATTAATGATTACTTATAATTTATTTATTTTTTATTATTATTTTTTTGAGATTTAAAAGTCTTTGTAACAAAACAATATGCAGAGAGAGATTGACATGAAATGATAGTGACTTGGGTAGAAAATATAATGTCTCTTCTAAGTTAGAGTTGTTTTTAGACTTTTTGAATAATTGTAGGTAATAATGTTCATGAACTAGCTTTTGGGTAAGTCCGACCAGTTAAATTATAAATGTTACGTTATTTTACTAAAAATGTTAAAATAATATTATTTCTTAATAGTATTTAATTAATTTTTTCTAATTTTATTTGTTCACATGTAAATATTGCGATTATTTAACTAAATAGATTAGTTTTATATGTGATATTATGTTAATATTATTGTAGTTATGAATTATCTATGAACTTCACCAAATAGAATTAAGTTTAAAATGTGGTACAAAGTGAAGTTTTCGTAAATAAAATAGTTGTAGGTTCCAATAGAATGAAGCTATTTACGAAGTTTCAGGTGGATGGATGTTAAAAGTTTGATATAAAGGGGTCTGTAACACGGACAATTAATTATGTTTAATTTTATGAATGATTTTATTACAAACCTTTTTTAAAAGTTACCTTCGAATATTTATATAGATTCTTTTTTTTTTTTTTTTTTCATATTATAATATGTAAATATTCCAATGTTATGAACTCAATACTATTTATGACATGATACTGTGTATTATACCACTCTGAAAATGTAAATTATCCTGGAATATTAATAATTAGAAATTATGATGTTATACTATTATTATAAGTTTCACTTGGGTGAAACCTTTAATGTGTGATATCATATTCAACATATATTAGTGGCACATCATAATTATTTTATTTAGATGGTTATCCTCAGTTTTGATTGTTATAATATTTTAAGTAAAAATATATTATATTTTATTTTAAGTAAAAATATTTTTTATTAAATTACTAGTTTTCTGGACATGTAAATAATTCAAAGTATTGAATTGGTTTGATTTTCTCATGAATATATTTCTTAATTTGATATGGTTGCATTTTAAATATAGTCCTAAAGTTTTAGTGGAATTAAATAATTTTGTTTTAAAATAAAAGCTTCAAATTATTTGTTCATTTTTTCTATTATTATTTTTAAATTAAATTTATATTTATTATATTTCAATCTATTGTTACCATCATTACAATTTTGTGATGACTTTTTTTATTGTATATTTCTTTACCAAAAACTGGGGAAAACATGTCCATTTGTAAATTTGTTATAGAAAAAATTATTTGTAAATTTTATCTTTGAAGGGATGAGAAATATTGTATAAAATGTATTAACTATTAACATTAAGTTAATTTTAAGCTGCACACTCTTTTACAGAGAATATTAAAGTGTAGATGATTTTCCGTCTAGTCTGTAATATCATTCAATTACTAAATGTATTAATTGTTTTTTTACATTTTTGTAAATGCCACTTTTTTCCAAAGAAATTGAATACATATTCTGACATTGTTGTTAATTTTTTTTTTTATTGGTTCCTCTTTTACAAATTCTTGAATCTCTTAATTTCATCTTCCGAATCAGAATATTATATTATTTGAGTTATAGTGTGTTATCATTTTCAGTAATAACTATTTTAACTAGCTTAACCTTAAAAACCGCTAATGCAACCTACGCAGACAACTCAAACTAAAAAATTAAGATTGTAGCCGATGACTTTGCGGGCATTCAAAACAATCTCATTAAATCAACTATAAATTATCAATTAATCAAAATAACACAAACTATTGACAATATATGTCTCAAATACACATTTCTGCAGATTTCAAAAACACTTTCCCATAAGAATATAGGTCAAATCAGAAATCACTCAGTCCTGACTTGTCATGTTGACAGCATTTTTTTAAAAATTCATATCAACACTGGTCAGTGGTTTCTGTTGTTATATTGTAACCACGGTTTCAATATAACATTTTGGTTAAAAATTTCCTTTTTTAGGGAAATTTCTAGGTTGTGAGATTTCACATTTAGATTTTATTGAAATGAACTAGTGGAAATTTGCTACAAACTACTTTATTTAAATAGAACAATACATAGTTATTTACAATAAAGCTCTTATCACCTATACACTTCATTATATCACAAAAATAATGCTATAAGATAAATTAACATTAATAAAAATTGTTGTATAAATATTACAAATAAGGGCTCGCTTTTATTAAAATGAGCCTATCATATTTTATAAACTGATAAAGTGGTTCTAAAACTTTCCCATTCTGTGTTGATAATATCTTCTAAACTTGAAGTTCATTTTAAGAGTTAAGGAACTTTTGTGAGGAAATGAAAATTATATGAAACAATTTCATTGTTTGAGCAAAATAGAGAAAAGAAAAGAAAAGAAGTAATAAAAGTTTAATTATGGCTGGAATATCTGCATTAAATAAAAAATATATATAAATAAAAAATCATTTCCTCAATGTGGTAAAGTTTAACCTTAAAATATAAAAGACCACTTGTTCAACATGAGGAAATCAACAGACACACAAAAATTTGAAAACATTTAACTAAAAAAGTAAAATGATTCTAAGTCTACAAGGTTTTATTTTCAAATCTATAATGATTTCAACAATCAGTCAATTCACACATCATATGTTCCAATCACAACTGAGAGATCAGGTGTGTTATTTCAATATTAGATATTGAAAATATCTTAATAATCTATGTAATTGAAAGATACAAATAAGGGATCTTCGCAGGTTTCCGTATCCTTGTTGCAGATCAAATTGTCCAGGCAAGGACATATATGATGGAAGTAGAAATTCGTCAGATTCATAGATGATCCATCGGGATAAGAAAGAGTTGTCATTTTATGCAGTTTGTTATCGGGTATACACTTGTCTCCCAAGTTTCCCATAGCAAAACACTGCGGTATTGAATACCTCCCCATTCCTGAAACAACATAATCGCAAAGAATAAATTTGACAATATTTATAACTTTTCTCTAGTCATAGATCAAAAAATGAATAGACATATATTCCTATGTATGAGAAAACCAAAAGTTTCACATTATGAAATTATAACTTCAAATAAGATGTTATCTAATATCTTCATATTGTTAGTTTTATTTTAAATAAATTTTATCTGATTTGTTGTTAGAGATTAAAATGTAGGTTTCATAATTGAGTTATATAAACTCTTCGAATTCTTTTGCTTTTATTTATTTAAAATTGGAATATTCATAAGTAAAAAAAAAAAAAAAAAAATTAAATGCAAGGGTTATTAAGCAATTTTTTTATCAACCAATGCCAATTCGCAGTTGATCTTTTATCTCTCAGTTATCGGTACAATTGAAAATAGATGGATTTTTTTTTAATTTCTCCACGTCAAAACTCTATTGAATTTATTGATAGTAAAGCAGCCGTTATTTACAATTGTTTGTTCAGTAATCTTTCCAAATTATTTTAGCACCAGATTTATATTTAAAAAAATTACAACTAATTTTATAAGTTTATCTACATGGGATAGATTATTTTTTTTCAAATAATCAATAAAATTAATGAGATTAGGGAGAAAAAAATATATATTTATTTTCATAATGGTGAAGAAATTATTGACTGTAGATTATTTGGTTGGGATGTTGGTTGAGGGTTGCAGTCAGAGAGAACTCACAAATAAAAATAAATGGTGATAGTTCGATTCTGACCAGAAAGGTTAAAATTTTTTATGCAAAATCCACAGAATGAATGTTAACTTCCTCAGTCTTACTAGAATAAGTTGTTTACTTATATCATTTTTTTTTCTGGTGCCATTTCTAGAATACAGAGGGAGATAGGTTGTTCTAGAGGTAAAAACAAACCTATTCTAACCAGAATGGAAAGGTCGAGATTCATTCGTTCCTTCTGTCATGTTATAAATTTCAATCCGCCCTAGCAACCTTAATTGAGTCAAACTTTATATATATATATATATATATATATATATATATATCAGACCCGGCCGAGTAATTGGAAAAAGATTAAGAGTATCCATATTCATTTCTTGGTATCAGCAAGAAATATTAAAAGACAAAGTTGGGAATCAAACTTATAAGATATCAAACTGCCACTATTCTGAGACGGGGCTGAATCTTGGGAGAGGCAAATGAAGCAATTGTACTGGGCGCCATCTTTTTGTAGCTTAAGTATCAATATTTCTTCCTAATTTCAGGTTGGTCTGATTTAATTCAATGACACCACCAAATGATGATATTTATTTCAAAATACACTACCCACAATATTAATGTTGGTTTTTATTGGAGGGGTAGCAACATTGGTCCTCACCTCAATAATTTAGCCAAGTTTTTTTTTGTCTGACTACCTTAGCCCGTATTAAGGTCTATCCTATAAAATATATGATATATTATTAAAATCTTGTCTTACCAATCGAACAGCATTTGCCTCTTCCGCATTCACTGCTATCAAGACAGTCGATATATCCAGGTCTATCATTTGGCCTTGCGTGAATAGCGAGAAAAATTGAAGCGATTGCTCCCAACTGGAAGAGGGTAATGCTCATAGTGTTCCTATTAACAGATAAAGAAGAACATTATAAATAGTCAAAACGAATTCAATTTAAAATTTATTGTTATTCAATAATTCTTTTTAGATAATATCATTTTTTATTAAAGCTGTGTATTTTAAAATATTCCTTTTTTAATAAATATATATAGATATAAAATTCTGTACTTTCCTATCTAAACTTTACGTTGTCCATAAGAGGAAAGTATACTGGTTGGAATATAAAAAGTTTAGAGGGATAAGCCTTTTGAATACAACCAATAAATTCATTCCAGTTACTCCATATTAAATATACAATAAAGTAACTAGAAATCTAAAATTGAGGGTGTAAAATGTTATGATAGTCAGTTGTAATATAGGGCTGCAAGACTATCATCCTAGAAAGAAGAAGTGAAATATTTGAGAGAAAATCCTCTGCACGACTATTATTATTACGGAGCGATTTGAGATAAGAGTACTACTGCAGGTTAAGGATAAGGGCTAATGAAGAATTGCTTGCAGGAACTAGTCAATCAACATCTCATGATCCAAAGGCAAGGAGATTAAGATGACCTGTAGCTAGGAGAAATTCATGAGCAATGAAGGCCTCAATAGTAAGCAAGAGACCACACGAAGGGCCAAAAAATAGACTGGGAGATAGAATCAACTATGCTTCAGAGCTGTTTATATCAAACCAGAAAGCATAAGCCCAAGATAGGTAGAGATGGAGAACTGAAATCTTCACTTTTATGCTTTTTTTCCCCACCAGTCTATGTTTTAAAACTTTAGTTAGTCACTATATGCATACGGTATAATATTTTTTGTGCATCTTTTTGTTAAAAATTTGTCAAAAAATTGAATTACTGAAGGTTTTCTTTATTTACATGTATATTTATTTTTTGTAACTTTGCTTAGAAATACTTAATACATTTTTAAAATAGGTAGAATTTGAATGTATACATAAATTTTACTATTGCATTATGGTCAGATAACAGTAGTAAACAAAAATTCATTAATAAACATGATGAGAATTCTCAAATTTTTTTATTAGACAAGATTAGTTATTATTATGCACGTGCTTTATGAACTTCTGGGTTATATATTGAAAAATTTGCTGATAGATATCATAATTTTTTTCTCTCTCTAAAGGACATCAACAGAATATAGGGACTAATAAAAGATATAGGACTGCACAAAAGACAACAGAGCAGGAACTAATAAAAAGATTTATCAGATTTTAAATGAATATATAAATTATTATTATCCATCGAATAATATACAAAAGAGAGTACACTTCAACTATCCAACATTGTTGATCAAAACAACTACTCTATATTGACGTATCTGATCTTTCTTAGCCAATATAAACAACGATGATATTTAATTATTGTTTTATACAAAGAAGAAAACAATTTATCTGAGAATAGTGATAACCTCAGAATATGGTGTTGTTTTGTTATCTGCACGCTAGGGACAGATCAGCCATTTTGAGCTAGTAGAAATGACTCCAGTATTGTGTGAGAACTGTACTTCCAAACAGGTTTCCTGTTATAGTTTTATCTTGTATGTTCCCGTATAATCTGGTATATTCCTGTTTAATTTGGTTTGTTCCAATATCTTTATTAGATAACACAACATAGATTTTAAAAATTTAAATGCATATACCTGAAGAAACAAATGTAATCTAAAAAAAAATATTTAAATTAAGGATCCATTAATATTATTTCAAAATTTGACAAATAAAGAATAAATCAAACATTCATTATAATTATCGTATCAGCGCAAGCATTAAAAAATATAAAGATAAACTGTTTAAAATATGGGATAAATATATTTGAAACAGTTGACCAAAAACAAGTCAACAAAAATGGTATGACTAAAACATCATATACAAGGTGATCAGATTTTTTCTGTATAAAATAAAATATTTCACAGTGATAGTTCTTCAGTTTAGGAATGATACTTCTCAAAAAATTGTTTTGTTTTTTTCCTACAACTCTCTGTTTCATTGTTGATGTTAACTTTTTAAGTTCTATTATACATTAAATATAAATTTTATACCATTATTTGGTGAAATTGAAAAAAGTAAGTTTTAAAAATCAGAGCAAATGTGTGACCCAAATGCTACTCTATAAAATTTAGGACTTGCTAAAAAAAATCAAGATTGTTCTGAACATATCAATTTTGATAATATTACAAAATTCAGAAATCTTAGTCATTTCAGGATGCAAAAACATAAAAATTCAATTATTAATCACAAAATGAAGGAAAAAATAACTCTTCGGTCTGTATGGTTTAATGAATAATAATAATAATGAATTTCAATGAATAATTTAACACATATAAAGATTTTACTGAAAATTAACACAGAATAATAAAAATCTAGAAAATATTGCTTCAAAGAATTTTTAAAAATTACAATATGAGTGATATAAAATGGATGAAATTAATTTATATATTGGTTTAATATTATTAAATTATAAAATAATATTTTTTAATTTTCATAATTAATCAGTTGGTTGTTTTTAATTTTTCCATCCAATAGAACCTCCACTAATTAAAGGAGTAACCATCTGACTTCTTGCAGAGATCAGCTGTTTGGGAATTTTTTTTTTGAATTTTAATCTGCAGCACACATCACTAAAGAAATATGGACCAAAGCGAAGTATATAAAAATATCAATAAGTCAAAACTAAAACCAAATTTAATACTTATGTCACTAATTAATTGCTATAGTACAACAACCTTTAATTAATGCTATAATTGAAGAACAATTAAGTAAATTTTCTTGTCTCTTTCATAAATTCTAGAAAAATTTTGATTTAACAAGAAGACAATATATAAATAGGTACAATGTATAAAAAAAATATTAGGCAGAGGATTTCAAAAGTGATAAACTACGCCTGAAACATAAGAGATAACCTCTATTTTTTCATTTCCACAATTCTGAAAATAATAGTCGGAACTGATAAGAGTATTATCAATTGAATGGTTAGTAGGAAGGGAAATGATAGAGAGCACTTCATTATTTTCTGAGGTGAAAATGTTATCAGAGCTTATATAAAGATAATTTACTTAAATTTACAACCCTTCATCACTATATGGCAGTGTGATGAATGGCAACTTAAATTATTGTATAGTATATTGATTATAGAAGTTCATGTATAACTATGTTCACGTATCATTATTTTAAATAAATTATTTATGTATGTTTCATTATATAAAGATTTGTGAGAAAAACCCTTGCACAATACTCAGAGCTATCTGGGATCAGAGTGCTACTAACGCATGGAGGAGAAGAACCAATAAAGAAGTGCTTAAAGGAACTGGTCAATCAAAATCTCAAGATGTGAAGGCATGAAGATGGATGAAGCATGCAGCTCGGAGCAATCAACCAGAAAACCTCTACACAATGAATGTCTCTCTACACAAGTAAGAGATCTTGTGGAAAGCCAAAAACCAGATGGAGATCAAGCCGAATAGGCAGAAACGGAATAGGCTGGTTAAGGTAGCAAAAGAACCATAAGATCTGCAACGTCAACAGAAAAAATAATGTAGGTTTCAATGATTCCAGAAAGACAGAACAAAGAAGAGACAGCTTGCTTGCTGTTAGGTGGAATCAGAGATGTCCATCCTCCCACCCTCCTCCCCCACGGTTGATGCTGCACGAACTCCCTCCTTCCTACCAAGAAATTTTATTATTCTCCTCTTTTTTAAAACATACCAAGGAATGTAGAATTAGAAAAATCGTAGACCATACACAAAACACACTTGAGGTAGTCTGGTCCATGTTTTCCCCCTTGTTTCCTGGATTGAAACTTTTCAAACAGAAAAACCCCATCGAAATGTGCCAGTCTCAAAAATTCAAAGCCCCGTCAAATTGTGCCTCCCCCCCCCCCCTCTCCAAGATTTAGAAGGAGCAACATGCGCCATGAAACCCTCAGCAGGGGATCGGAGCAGGAATAAGTTATGCCCACTCCAGTAACTCCTTTCTTCCTTGCCTAAACTTAAAGCACGGTTTTATTTTTTTATTATTATTTTTTCTGGTTATCATAGACCATAGATACTTAAAATTCTGTACATGTTAAAACGCATTCCTTTTTATATTGATATACTCGAAATTATCTCTGTTTTTGCAACTATAGTCTTATCCATATTTGGATGCTACATGTTTAGTTGTAAATGCTTGTTTATATTTTTGGATAGATTGTGCTAATGTTTAACAACCTATTGCTGAAGTGTAATTTAGAATAAGTTGTAAATTTTATTTTGTTTTTAACTTCTAAAACTATTCTTGGCGTGTGAACCACGGTGGTACCCCCGGATCTAATAAAAATGTAGAGGGGTCGAGAATATAGTTTCGCCCTTCCATCTCCCCCCCCAATAATTTGAAGTAAAAAAATTAAAATCTATAATTAATAAGCTATAATTAATAAGTTACATGAATTAATCAAATTTGTAAACTAAAATCGATTGAGAAAAGTCGACTAACTAGCAATGCTAAGGCCTAGTAGAAGGTATGTTACTATTTTATCGATATCTAAATATTACTTTATTTTAAACTGTCATTTATATTCAAAGATAATAATATACATTGACATATCCTAGGAATTTATGATTCAATCACCCCTCAATTTTCACGTGATATTCTTATCACATTTCCCGCGGCAAACTGATCGGACTGTGCAAAACTTATTTTTGATTTAAAGTTGTACACACTAAGATATTAAAGATATTTTTCTTTTTTTCACATTATTCTTTTTTAGCTGATAAAAGTTCTAGAAATGTACAAATGTTATGATGGCTATCTCTCCCTCCAGTGTTTAATCTAAACAAATACGTTAGATATTTTTTATTTTTTTAGATATTTTCAAGTATATATAATAAGTAAGACAAATAAATAAAAATCCTTACAACTATACAAACATGTAAATACATACATTTTAAATATTCAACATTATATTTGTTCGTTTCACGATGACTATGCTGAATTATTACACTTAATAAAAACTCCTAACAGCGCCAGAACTATTATAGCGACTTACGCAGACGATACAACTATTCTAACAAGAAATAACAACCCAACACACGCCTCACAGACTTTACAACACTATTTAACCGAACTATACGATTGGTACAAACTCTGGAAAATTCGACTCAACCAAGACCAATCACTTTCACTCTTCGACATGAAACATGCCCTCCTATTTATCTTGACAATGCCGAAATTCCTCAAACCGACAAAATACAGTATCTTGGACTGACATTCGATAGAAGAATGACACGGGGCCCAGATATCAACAAAAAAAG